CTTCACTTTTTGGTTGGTTTAAGCTTAGTCTTGGACTAACTCAGCCTTATGTGTTTGTAGTAGAGAACTGGATTGTAGGGTACACAAGTCATTTACTGGCCTCATTCCAAACTAATCCATAGACTAAATCCTCCCAGCCTTGCTTCTACAGATAAACCCTCCTACATAGTTCAGTTCCAACCCTAGTTTAACACACCACCCTCGCATGATAAAATGTTTCTGGCCACATTCATAAAATAGATCAGTTGTGTGAGATCTGAGCTCTAATCTGTGAGTAAATCTCTGGGTGAGATTGGTCACCCCTGCCCTGCCCTTAACTTAAATCCTGTGTACCTTTAAAAAAAAAAAAATAAATAAATAAAGGCACCAAATAAAGGCATCTATGCTATGATACAAGATAAGAACCATTTGAATGGAAAAAAATGGTTTCTATACTCATTTAATTACTTATTTAATTATGTTTTTTTGTTTTTTAGGAAATATGTCTGTGCGATGATGTATAAGATCATCCACTTACATAAAGAAGGAAAAAAGTAAAAGGAAAGTAGGTGAAAAAACAGGATTTGTCCAAAAAAGTAGAAAAAGATATAGAGAAACAGCTGTGCAGCACTTGTTAGACCACCAAAAGTGTCACTATCAGACAAACAGTACTTAAAGCTTTCATATTTGAGAGAGAAGAGAAAATAAAGCTCTACTCTTGCTTCAAATCTGAAAAAACCCACAGGTGTTGGTCCATCCTTCCCCTGTGAGAAGACAACTCAATGCTAAAAGTCTGAAAGGATGTGTAGCTGTCAAGAAGCTGTTACTGAGAAAAGGAAATAGAAGAAAGAGATTGTTGGTTTTCTCAGGATGATGGACCGACCACCCCAGAGTCCAGACCTCAACATCACTGAATGTTGAACCACTAAGGAATTTAATTATTTTTAAGAGTGTAGGTAGATAAGAAAGCAGCACAGTCATGGAAACTCAAATTGTGCTCTCATAAGTCTCTCTCTGCTTCCGCTTAGCCACGACTGATGAATATGGAATAAATCAGGAAGAGTTTTGAATTATGCTTTTTATCCATACAGGCACAGTCAAGGGAAAGTCAGTCTCCTGCCTTAAAGTCAAAATCATTTCCTGTGTCCTTATTCCCAGTATCATTAAATGCTTGTCAAGGTCCTTGAATGAAACCAATTATGGAAGCTCTGTCTGCCAGAGCAGTCTTTTTAAATACGATGGATGAATAAGCCCTGTAACAAATATGTTTTTGCAGAGTAATGTTCTGCCCATAGCTCATTTTTCTCATGGAACAAATGGAAACAAAAATGTTTGTGAAGGAGTGCACTAAGGAAGAGTAACACATCAGTGCCACTGCCAGATTGGATGACCTTTGGCTTAATTTGTCTCTTTATCTCACTTAAGCAGTGTTTGCCTGACTTTACCGTCTCCATTTTAATTGGCTATTAGCCATTTACTCCTCTTTGCTGTAGTGTGCAGATGATGCTAGGCCAAGCCAAAAACCTATGTGCATGCATATATTTATGCATGCGCTTGTTAGATGGCATCATTACCCCTTTTAACAGTGTGTTTTGCATAAGAAACTGAGTCATGTGTATGTTATCTGTCATTTGAGACATAAGCTTGTGTAGTAGAGTTTATTATGTCTAATGAGTAGGTATAATGAGGCCCTGGGAAGGCTAAGAGAGTAGCCTGACATCATCTAGTCAGTCCTTGGGTTTAGTTAGGACCTTATGGCATGTCAAGTGATGATTATTTGGAGCATTAGCTCATACTGAGGAATGTCCTTGATGTTGTCAGATTGTGTCTTGTAATGGTTCCTGTGTGGAGGCTTCTGATCCCTGACTCTTTCTTTTCTCATCCTGCTGTGGTGGCTTCGAGAGCAGCTCGGATCTCAGCGCACATATGGATATGATTGACATAATATTGATTGTGATGGTCTTGAATTTTCTGTTAAGTTCTGCTCTTTTTCCACAACGAGCTGAATGTGTTTGTATGTGTGAAATGATGAGTGTTGCAGTGGAAACATTGCAGTCAGGATAATGTACCAGAAATAGTCTAGGCCAGATGCCTTTCTGCATGTATTTCAGTGCTTGACCTCCCACCTGTGGTAGTGCAGCGCTCCCTTCTGCTCTCACTCTCTACAGCCTTTCCACTAGGCCTCAAGTGATACAGCTGATATTAAGGATTCACATTTTATTAGGATTGGCAAAAATCCTATTAATAAAGCACAAATATTATTAACGTGAAGAAATTCAAAACACTGCAGTGTTTAATTTTTGACCACATAAAATTACATGGTCATGTTATTTTAACTCTTTAATATCAGTATCAACAACATCAGTATCTTACTTTTCACTGCTGCTTCTTTCTGTCTGCTTTTATATTGTTGCTGGCTTTCATTTTGCCTCGTTCCTTGCCCTCTCTGTCTGAAGCTTGGGTTTCCCCAGATATGGACCTGTTTGAGCTCTGAGATAGCTCCCTGTCACACACGGGTGGATTTACAACATAGATATCCTACAGTTTGGTTAGTTTTTGATGATCTTCATGCTTTAGATTTTGTGTATTAATTTGTGTAGGTAACAATTTGTATGTGTGGTGTTTTGTATATCTATATAGACGAGTGTATGTTGATGTAATGTGTATGCTTATATGTGCATGTACATCACTGATTTTATTTAGTGTATGATATTGATCAAAGATGTGTAGTCAGTCATTGTCATGAGACACGACACTAGTTTTGTGTGATGTATAGGTGGACCTTTATCATGACAGTCTGATGAGTGTTTTTGCTCTAAATGTCACCCACAGTGGTGACAATTAGATCGTTTTGATATTGGGAGAGACAAAGCGCTAAATTCTTTGTTCATTATTCATGTTCATTTTAATCTGAAAGCCTGTCATGCTCAAACTACCCATGTGAGATGTGCACTGCAGAAGAGATTTTTGGTTGTATTTCAGTAAGTTTCACTCTTAGACCCTCTGCCCACAGAAGTTGACAGACTGTCTGAAGTAAACTGCATGCTAAAATCAGCCCATCACTCAGAAACTGACCTCTTATGAAGAATGTAAACTGGCTCTGGCTGTCTGTGCTTCCATGCACTGTTTGATGGGAGATAAATGATTGTTTATCAGGCTAAATGCTAGAAGCAAGCAGTTGTATCTATTTACCAGTAAGTCTTTCAGAGTGAGATATAGGCCTAGTCTCTGATCTAGGAAACATTTATGATATCCCGTTCTAAAAAGTTATTCCTGAGTTGTGTTTGAAAGTGTGAGAGTTTTTGCAGACCAGTACTCTTTATTTAATAGAAGTTTGTTTTCATCGTTATGCTGAACAATCTGTGATTGGATGTTTTGCATGTAGGTCAAACAGCCCTTTCCTGTCAGAGGCAACGGTTCTTGAAACCCGCCCAGTCTGGCTAATGAGGCTGTGTTTCAGCTCAAGAGAATCAGTTTCATTTTGTGCAATATTTGCACACTAATGAAATACTTTGGACTTTGTATTGAGGAGGAAAACTGATTTCTGTTCTCTCCTCCTGCCTCTTCAATGCAGTTTTTACCACTGCTGTATTTTAGGCACTGTCACACAGACCATAGGACCAGTTTTTTAGTTAAGTCTAGTCTTTAGTGAAGTAGTCTAGTATGCAACTCTAGATTGCAGCCTCAGATATCGACCTGATACCTGTCAATACTGATATGCCATCTCTTATTATACATTTATATGTGTATGAATGTGTATCCAAATTTGGATATCACAAGTTTTTGAAAAGAATAGCGGCTGGCATATAATGGAAAGCATTTTAATTTCTCTAAAAAAAAAAAGGTGGTATTAATCTTATTATAGCATTTGATATTTCTTGTTAATGTAAAGTCCACTCCCAACAGCATGAAACGAATGAGTGTGGTCTATAGTGCGTTTTAGAACTAAATGAAAACAGAATGAATATGTAATCTCACCAGCCCTGCAGCAGCTCAGTGAAGCCTTTTGCCCCTGAGCTGAAGAGTCAGTGTTGAAATAGATGTATAGAAATTGCTTACAGATCATCTGCTGTGTGCATGTGTGCACTCACACATTGACTCATTACATGTGAGCCCCTCACACAATAGTATAGCAGTTCATTGTCATGGTTAATTAATTCAGGCAAGTGTCCTTGTAGCATTAAGGGGTTTTAATTCAGGAGTGCAGTTTATGGTAAGAAGCAGCAGTTCATTGTGTTTGTATGGAAATATACTGTACGTAAAGAGAGAGAGAGAGTTGTCGGGGAAGAACAGACTATAATGTAAGGAGGTCATAAATCAGAATCCCCCATACTCCTCTTTTTGCAGTGCAGTAGCTTTTGCCATGATATTATTAGTCTCTCTCTCTCTCTCTCTCTCTCTCTCTCTCTCTCTCTCTCTCTCTCTCTCTCTCTGTCTCTGTGTGTGTGCTGCTTGTGTGTCATCGCTAAGGGATGAGTGGAATTTCTCATTCTTGTGAGGTGGTCGTTTTTCCTCTATTGTGCTCACTCTCTTCCTCAGCTGAGTTTGAGTATATACACCCTCACACTTCTCCTCCCTCCCTGCAGTCTCTTGGCAGTAATCTGATTAGCTTTATGTGAGCAGCTTAGTTAGCCTGTTAGCGTTTAGCGCCAGCAATGCAGCCAACGCTCAGTATAAGCAGCTCCAACCCCATGCAGCCTGCCCAACCTAGCCAAAGAGAAGCTTAAACCACTGCTCTACTAGCAGAGCTGCTGTATATCCCTCCTTCGTCTGCCCTGTCTCTGTCTCTCTGTAACGCTAGCACTCTGTCTACTTTTGTCAGCCTCTGCTTTCTCGCTCTCTCTCTTGCTCTCTCTCCCCTCCCTCCCTCCCTCCTCTGCCTGTCCCGGGACACTCCTGCAGCCTCGGCTGCATCACCTTGCAGTCCGCTCGCGCGCTGCTGCCTGCCTGCCTGCCTGCAGTCCCCTCCCTCCACACTTCTACGATCCCTCTCTTTCTCTCTCTTGCTCCTACACTCTCTTGTTCTCTTCCTTCTCTGTTCCCCTCCTCTGTCTTCCTGCTTCTCTCTTTCTGTTTCTGTTCCTCAGTCCACCCTTCTGTCTTCTTTAACTTTGCCAAAATGTATCAGAACCAGTGGATCACCAACTATCTCAGCCATGTCAAGTTCTGTCAAGGTGAGTAGATGGGAGCCTGGCCGTGCAGCTCCGCGATAGAGCTGTCCCATTACCGTGTGGCCTTGCAGCTGCATGATGCTGTTTCATTAATGCTGATTTGTGTTCAGAAGTCCTTGTGGTGCGAGCTCCAGCCTCCAAGGACGTGCTGATTATGAGAGGCTTTCTCGCTACGGGAGAGAGAATAAGAGATAGAAAGGACTAGAGTGCATGAAAGAGAAAGGCAGTGCTGACAGCTTGTTTCTTTGATACTTCTCCTTTCATAGGCATTTATGCAGTAGTATCATTTGCAACACTGGTACATTTTGTGGCTTGACTTGTATTACTGTCCCTGAGCCAAATTGCAGCTTAATGGTTTTGTTTTGGTCTTTATGCGTTCACAGTGGAACATGACTTTCCATTTATGCTCAGTGCTGAATGGTCTTCTGCTTGGTTAAGTGCAGCACAATTCATAGCAGGTGTGGGTGAATGAATGTCGACGCTAGACTGTCGGTCTGGGTCTCAACTTCCAAACTTTTCTAGAAGAATTTTACAGACGTTAAGCGTTCTGTTTTTTACTACCAGTAAACAGTGGGTTATTGCTTTTAAAGTAATTAAACTGTGGTAGTCTGGCTGATATTAATACAATCAAATGTTACAATATTTTCCAAATATAATCACTATGTCAGGTGATGTTTTTCTCCTGAGTACATTTGTTTGGTTTTATATACCCAAGTGTCATCATGAATTTTGCATAACAATATTGCATATTCTTTTTATTCCTGATGATTAAAAACAAAGATTTTGTTACTGTTACTTGCAGGCTGTATAGGTGGATATATGTAAATGCATTGTTTTTTGTGACATCACAAAAACTGAATTCAAAAGAGGCTGTTTTTGCAGCTTAGTTTCCATATATGGACTGAATGGACTGGGGAGTGAACAACATGCTTTGAAACTTTAATAGTGTTTACCTACTACATCAAACTCTTTTAATTAAGGAAAGCACTTTTTTGGTCCTTTCTGCGGTTGTACACTTGCAGTCGGTCATTTCAAGTACCTGTCATTTCTCCAAGGTGTAATACCCCCTACTTGGAGCCTCTTGGATCATTATTTCTTCTTAGATGTTTGGACTCTGAAGTCTTCATTATGTCATTCATGATGTAAGTAAGACTATAGGTAGTAAAGTGACACACTTCCTGTGTGTCCCCTCGGGGTAATCCTCTACCTCTTGAGGGCTAATCCTTCATTAGTTGAGACAGGCGCTCCACTAACACCCCTCTGCCATGCTGTCCTGATGGCTCTGCCCTGTTGCTATGGAAAACCCACTCTGCTTTCTGGCCCGCTTCACTGCTGGGGAAATCTAACTGCACTGCTAGGCTCCTCTCTCCTTACTTTGGTTTTATTACCTCTGTTTTTTTTTTTTGTTTTTTGTTTTTAAATACTTTTTATTACCTGTTTTTTCTTTCCAATTGAAGCAGCACAGTAAACATTTTATAGGTTTGTTTTTCCCTCTAAAAGGCAGATTAATTTTACTGTTCAATAATTTCTCGTGTTAAAGACTTCACATTGTTTTGGTAATAGGAGACTGTTTTGTAGTAGATTTAAGATATCAGAGCGTCCTTGTGCAGGTTGCGGTTTGTTTTGCCCGGTGAACTGTGCCTGACCTACATATTTAATGTCTTCTCACAAATCTTTGCACTGACAATGAATTGGCAGACGGCCAAATAGCCTCAAAAACTGCCGCATAAATAGTTTAATGTATTAATAGTTTACTTGCTGCTAACTAGGCCATGACACTTGTCTCTAGTCTTTAATGTCTCTGCATGCTTGTAGCATGACATATCACACAGTCATGACAGAATGCTTGAGTCATGCATCTTATCTCCCCTTTAGAACATTACCCATGACTGCCTGTGCTTTAAAACAGGTGTGCAAAGTATGAGATGTCTCGTAGGGAGGGGGAGAGGAAATCAACATCATCCAATGGAGCCATATAAAGAGAGGTTAGATGGTGACCTTGGTTATATGTCACCAGGTGTTGTAATTAGGGCAGGGTTCCAGATAAGTAGGCATATGTTTTGGTGTAGGCTAAGGAGCTGTCGGATAGCAGGCATGCCATTAGAAGTGCCGTAAATGTCACACCAGACTGGGTATGATTATCTTCTCAGCATCACAGGGCACAGGGCCAAGTAGAGCGACTGAGCTGTAAGTTATTGACAGAAACAAACATCACCGTTAGTCCTGTCAGTGGCGTTGCTGTTGTGGGCGACAATGGGATACATATATGGTACTTATCATTTGTTCTGGAGGGGAAAAGGGAATCCTTAAGGGATTGTATTATGGGTGCCCAAATATCAATATTGTATACTTCTATACTTCTAATGTTACTTTCGCCTACCATTGTAAGTCTTCCTGTATGAGCGCATCTGCTAAATAAAAGTTTTCCCCACTTGCGGTCTAAAGTAGAGGAAAGCAATATAGCTAACATTGCTATTATCATTTCTGTATTTATCTGCCTCTGTTTCAGTAGATTTCCTTATTACTGTGGGGGGATTCCCAGTGGTTATATGACATAGCTGCGGAATGCATCCTGGGTGTTGTAGTGAGAGAATATTGATGGACAAATACAAAAAATAGATTAAAAAATTGTGAATTGTGTCAAACCAGTGAGGCTGAGGGATGCAATGCTATGGTAAAGAATAGTACATAACACTTTAAATGGTAGTTTTAGGCAGGAATGCCCATGGTACATTGTGTGATATTTAGGTTTGAGTCATTGGAAAAGACAAAAAACAAAAGTGCCATGTTCTTAAAAAAACATTGAATACTATCATTTTTATTCAGCAGTAACCAGCTGAACAGGCCTGATTATGCTCTTTTTGTAATGAAACCTGTAGTTGGTCAGTCATTGTTCTTTAACATATCTATGATAGACTCAGAAAAGCATATTGTGATGACAGCGATATAGCTCACCGCCAATTTTAAAATGACAGTAGAATTTTTATATGGCTCAAGTATCAAGGTAATATTGTATTGTTTTGCCTGTAGTGATTCTGTCTCCTGATTTCTTTAAAGTCAAAGCTGGTGATATAAAGCTGATTTGAATGTTTTAATGTATTTTCCGCTGTATTTAATGCTTTTTTATATGAATACTAGAAATTCAATCATGAGAATAAGAAATTGATTAACTGTCCTAAGAACATTGTTCTTTTTTCAAAGTGATTTGCATTGTTTTATGATTGTTTATAGCTACAGTCCAGTAAAGATGTTGAGATTGCTGGCTTTTCTAAAACATTTGTGCCGTTACTTGCTGGTGGTAGTTGAGTCATATATCTCATCTCAGAGATGAGATCAGTGTTTGAGGGGTTTAGGGATGAGTGGTTCAGCTAGGAGTGAATGTGACTCTATAGGGTCTGTATCTCTGCAGCTATGAATCAGCATGCAGGTGAGTGATCCTTCTCTTTAGCTCTTTAGCTGACTCCAGTCTTCACTTCAGGCAATCACTGTCTTTGTTTTCTCTGTTTTTTCTGTCTGCCTTTTAGTTTCTCCATCTCTGTGGTCACTGTTGCCTCATCAGCTGGCATTGTGCTGTGTGAGGTGAAAGGAGATTTCTAGTGAGAGTGGAATGTTTTTAGCGGATACTCTTCCCAGCTGTGAAAACACACTCAATACCAAAACACAGCAGAGTCCGGAGAGAAGCTCCACAGCTCTCACTGACTCTGCCATCTCAAATGATGTTTGTAAAGAGTGAGGGAGTTGTAACGCTGATCCACCAAGCCTCACTAAAGCCACACAGATATGAAAGAGGTGTGTGCGTATCTGTATGTGTAAGAAACAGAGAACAGCTGGAGTGGAAACACGTTTCTTCTCCTGTTCTCAACAGTGTGTCATCTTTATAAATAACATTATTCTTTTAGACATAACATATGCTCTATTCCCAATTAACTAATTAAGAGCAACAAAGAATTCACTTCCAACCTTGATTGAAATCCTACCACTTAAGATGTGTAAGCCTCAATATGATGTACATGTCCAATACTATTACAACCCCATTTCCAAAAAAGTTGGGACGCTGTGCAGAATGTAAATAAAAATAGGATGCAATGTTCTGCATATCATGTAAAGCATGTTTTTAAAGGAAAATACTACGAAGACAACATATCAAATGTTGAAACTGAGAAATTTTATTGTTTTTTGAAAAATATATGCCCTTTTTGAATTTGATGCCAACAACACATTCCAAAAAAGTTGGGACAAGTGCATGTTTACCTCTGTGCTGCATCACCTCTTCTATGAACAACACTCTGTAAGCGTTTGGGTACTGAGGAGACCGACTGCTGTAGTTTTGAAAGTGAAATGTTTTCCCATTCTTGTTTGATACAGAATTTCAGCTGCTCAAGAGTTCAGGGTCTCCTTTGTCATATTTTTTATTTCATAATGCACCAAATGTTTCAGTGGTGACAGGTTTGGACAGCAGGCTGGTCAGTTTAGCACCCATACTGGCACCCGGCACCCGGAGCAATGCTGTTGTAATACGTGCAGAATGTGGTTTGGCATTGTCTTGCTGAATTAAGCAAGGCCTTCCCTGAAAAAGTACTTGTACTGTAGATGATGAAAAGCAAAAGTTCTTTGCTATTTTATGTTGAGAAACGTTATTCTTGAATTGTTGCACTATTTGATCGTGCAGTCTTTCACAGAGTGGTGAACCCCTCCTCATCTTTTTTTAGCAGAACACAACTTTACCAGTCTTTTGTTGCCCCAGTCCCTTTGGGAATTTTTTTTGGAATGTATTGTTGGCATCAAATTCAAAGTGGGCATATATTTTTCAAAAAACAATAAATTTTTCAACATTTGATATGTTGTCTTTGTGCGATTTTCAGTAAAATGTAGGGTTTATATGATTTGCACATCATTGCATTTTGTTTTTATTTACATTTTGCACTTCCCAACTTTTTTGAATGGGGTGAAAATATGTTGTATAAACCAGGCAAAGTACTAAATTTATTATTAAAAATAGACATAATATCTCTACTAGTATGTTAGCCTTTCTAGCTTTAGCTAGAGCGTGACATTAAAACTACACCATGTAAATTATGGGGATTTGGTTGGGGATTTCTTTGGTTGAAATTGTAATTGCACAAAACGTGCGGAAAAACATTTTGTTAGATCAGTTGTGTTTGGGACTCCTTTGCTGAGCAGATGAATCTGATGATTGTGAGTGTGTTCATAGAGTATTCAGAGAGAACTCAGTCAAAACTTGGATGTGTCTTTCCACTGAGGTTAGTGAAGTATCTGCTATTGTTACCATATCTTCATCAGTATAATGTTGATTTTAAGACCAAAAACGTTGAACCGGACCTTGTGACATTAATACCTAAAGACGTTTGATGTGGTCTGAAAAACTCCCTTGAAATCCTCTGATTTTGAGATTATTTTAGGCTTTACAGAGCGACTCGCAGCAGCACACAGACAATGTACTTTAGTGTTTTTTGTTCTTTTCTCCTCTCTCTGTAATGCCACATTCAGTTTTAACAAAAAAAAAATGCCTACTGCTTCTTTCACCAAGTGAAAAACATTTTATTGTGTTATTTTCCATATGACTCCACTGCAACTATATGGCATCACAGCATGATAATAACAGTATAAGTAGAGGGATGATGATGATGATGATGATGATTGATGATTATGATTATTATTATTATTATTATTATTATTATGTTTTTAATAACAACCAAGACATTTCTATTTCATTTATGCATAATATCTTAATAATATTTAAACTCTTCTAAGGCATTCCAATTCTAAACTCCCTTTAATGTAGCTTTAATTAGATTTAGGCTGGAGCTGAATTCTACAGGAGTAGGGTTGGTGAGCACTGGTGTAAATGATACCTTGTCTCTTTTTACATTAAAACTCAGTTGGTCAAGTTCCACAGAGCCATTAATGGCATGTGTAGCTAAGTTTTTGCTTGATGCAAGAGTTGGTTGAGTTCTATAATAAGAAATGGTCCAATTTGATGTGAGAAAGTTTTGTGTACTCCTAAAAACGAAGGTTCCAATAAGGTTCATGGCTGCATGGTTCTAGGAGAAACCTTTATTAGGTGCAAAACAAAAAAAAAAAAGTTCTTCATACAATTGCCCACTGAAACGTTTTAAGGGGAACAGAATGAATTTTTCTATGGCACAGCTACAAATAACCATTTTTTGTCCTGTTATTTTTTTTAAGAGCATCGCCTGAAAGTACCCAGGCATACTTCTAGAGATTTGACCTATTCTAGCCCATTCTAATAGCCGCTCCTGAGAAAGGAAAAATAAGTAAACCATGGGAATTTGGCTTAAAGGAATACTACAACAATCTGCTCCAGCTATATCATATGGTTGAGTTCCATAGACAGTAATTTCCCTGGAAACCCACTTACTTACAACACACAGATTAGAAGCCAGTAGTAAAGGACTTCTATTGTAAGTATGTTTCAGTAGGTTTTCTGTTCTTTTCCTACATACAAAGAAGAATAAATAATGGTAATGGACCACATGCTATGGATGCAGCAGATGGCAATTAGGTTAAAAAAAAGAGCAATGTGTTAAGATGCATAACTGTCACAGTATGCTGTAGCGAGCCATATCTCTTACTGCACAGATTCATTCAACTGTGATTGTCCTCTGTGAATTACAGTCCTCGCAGTGGTGTCTGATGTTCTGAAAGTGCTGTCTTCTTGTATGTCCACAGGCATCACAGGGGAGACCACCACCAAAGTTGGCAGACCTAAATTACAGCATAGGGCTCTTAGGTAAGTGCTGTTTACACAAAGTTCCTCATCCGTTAGCAGATTAAGTCAGTAACTTGTGAAGCTCGGTGTTTCAGTGGCCTGTAACCCGTCAACTAGCTTTAACCATTCTCAGTGCAAATAACCACACCTGCTTGTGCTGTATGGGGATAACAAGAAGACATATAAAATCTAACAGGCCTCATATAGCACAAGTAGATCTACAAAGTGATTAGTTTCATCATTTGATCTCACTCATTTTGAAAAGCTTAGTTTAAAATCATGCAAAGTGCATAAGCTTTGATATTTGGGTCAAAGTCTTGAGTTGATTTATTACTGGATTTTACACCTTTGCTCTGTTATCAGCTACTGATGAGTGATCTTAATGGAAAGTAGGTGTTACCTGAAATGAGAAAGCAGGTGGGAAATTCCAAATCCCACTTTGATGCATAACAAAATTTTTGATCTACATGTTTACTGAAATATTTTGTCATATCTGTCCAGATTCCTAAATAAGAGGGGAAATTCAGCTTGTTCTGAGCATTCCGCTTGTGTTCTGAGCACTCAGCACTGGGAAATATTTGTTCAGATCATTTGTTTTAATGTCATTTTGGCACAGTATTATGATGTTCAAATTGGTTGTATTTTTGGCTATGTCATGTAGTCTGTCTAACAGAGAGCGGCCTATTCAGTATCATGTAATCAAGACAGAGGGAAGGTTAATAAAAGAGGGCAGTACAGTTCTTGTCCAGGACATCATATCATTGACTATGAGTGAAAAAAAACTGAATAAATATGAATTGTACAGGTCGTTTTGTTCCTGTTGTTGTGGAAATTTTTCCTGTTTTCCACTTTCATATTATTCTAAGCAGTGTTCATTAATGGAAGAAATGAGGCACTGTCTGTGCAAATAGATTTCCTTGCGTCAATACAAAGTAATGAATTTGGCAGCTCACTGATAGCGAACTAATTACAAAGTAATAAAAGGGTGTTACCGCTGGCAGATTGTTTCAGCATGATGGCCCAGATCAGCCGTATCTCTAACAAGCTCAGGATTACCCTGACCCATTACTCTACTGATGTCATAGCTCACTGCAACAGATAATGGTTACTAATTTTACATTTATCACTACATGGGCCATTTTTCCAGAAATTACCTGCATTTGTTACTGTGGGCATTCACAATCTTAAAACCTATTTTGCAGTTTATATGCATAACAATTTTAAATTTGGTTGAAGGTGGGCTTCTGTGTACTCATGGCTTTGCCTCCTCCTGTAGGGCTTGTTTTTCTTAGGCTCAGCTAGATCAGTCCCAGACAAGAGGGTTTATTTTGTTTTTATTATGTGGCTCACCCTGTTCATCGACGTTCCCCAAATGCTGTCCTATACAGTACTGTGCACATTTCAGAGAACACAATTAATTTAATTTCCATTCAAAATGGGCTTTACATAGTAGTTATTCATTTTCAGGAGGTATTTCGGTAACATTTTCTGTGAATGTCACGATTTTAAGCATCTATAGACACATTCATAACATGTTATAATGCATTCATAAGGCATTATAAACGTGGTTATAAATATGTGAAAAAAGTGAGTTACACTGTATTACACTTTATAGCCAAGTTTATTGTACATAATGAATTGTTAACATAATGCATTATATGTAGTGTTAATAACATGTTATATTGTCAGTGCCAAAGAAGTCAGTCCCAGCTTGGAGAGTGTAAAGACAAATACACAAAGTTTATTTACACCATGGGATTTCCAGTATTTTATTTCTCACTGCTGTGTTAGGGCTGGATCTTCAGGGCTTAAGTCCCAAATATTCAGATGCTCCAAACAGGTTGTCCGGCTTAGAATTATTGCTACAATGTGCTTTTCTTAACTAGTGCTCTTACTTTGAATGTTACATTACATCACAGCAAACCAAGTACCCATCAGGCCCTCCCCTGAACCCCTTCCGACATCACACTGAGCATGAAGTTACTGTGGAATGAAGGCGTGGAGAGGGAGAGGCGAGATAGTAGAGTGCTGTCATTGTAATTTGTTCCCTCACTGGTTCTAATTTCAAGCGCAAGAAACTTTCACTCTGTAACATCACTACACTGCACTACAGTAATGCTAATTTCTGCTAGCACTCTATTGGATATGCAGTGTTAAGTTAGTGCCAAGCAGTGGTGTACACTGAGTTTCCCAACATTTGGGTAAAATACTATCGGTAACAGCATTAGTTTAAAATCTGCCATTTGAAGCCTGTAATATGATTTACTTTGTATGTTGCAGTATTGCAGTAAATCCTTCAGTAAATACTTCAACTTGAAGCCTCACTCTGAATACTGGAGGAGGCTTTAGTACAGTGTGCCTCGCGTTACTTAGGGTGGACAAATACAACTTACAAGCTCTTATAATTTGTTATGAACACTACTTATAATGCCTTATTTGAACAACCCATAATGCGTAATAAGCATGGCTATAATGTGTAATGCATTTTTATAAATATTTATAGCCATGTTTATGATGCCTTATGAATGCATTATAATGTATTATGAATGTGTTTATAGGTTCTTATAGACATAACATTCATAGAAAGTGTTACCAATATTTCTAAGGAACATTAGATATAAAAGAATCCACTTGCACAAGGAAGAGAAAAGTCAAAGGAAAATATATAGAAAACATAAACAGTTTCCAAAACTGGAGTTAAAACATTTTTCATAAGTAAAACAGCACTTTAAGCTTTTATCTTTGAGAGAAGAAAATCAAGCTTCGCTCTTTCTTCTGGTCTGAAAAAATCCACAGGTGTCTCTGTCCATCCTTCCAGAGGAGAGGACAACTCAGTGTTGTGGATCTGAAAGGATGTGTAGCTGTCAGGATGCCCTTACTGAGAAAAGCAAAGCTGCTGGTGTTCTCAGAACAATAGACTATCCTTCACAGAGCCCAGACCTCAGTATCGCTGAATGTGTTTGTGATTACTTGGATCATAAGCAGAAAATGAAAAGAAACATCCCTACAGAAAGCAAGAAGTGAAGTGGAGGCTGTAATAGACTAATTGAATGGGCACTAATTGAAAACAATTTATTATACAATTAAATAGTGAAATTAATGTTGTATCTATAGTTGGTAATGGTTTTGTGTAATTTTCTGTGAAATGTATATATTCTGTGTTTTTCCTGATGTCTGAACAATAAATTAACTTGTACTTACTGGACACTTTGACTGGAAATGAGATAAATGAAGGGTGGGTCTCTGACTTTTGCACAGTGCTGTATTTCCCCACTACATCGTGTTAAGCAGAAACAGGCACCACTCTGAAAAGTCAATGTCCTCTTTGCCCTCCTTTTCACACATGCCTTGTTTTCCAAAATTTGTTTGCGAGCTCGTAAATGGGGACAGAGTGTTTTCTCTCTTTCAAAATATACTTTTCTCATAGTTCTCAATTTTTATTTTGGAATCCTGTACAGTGCAGCATGCCAGTGGCTCCATTTGCTGTTAAGAAAATATTTTTCTGTCAGTGCGGTATTTACAGTGAACTAATTCCAGTAGTGGGAAGTAATGTAAGTAAGCTCTTGCACCTTGTGCTGCAGGGTTTCCTATTTTTTAAAAGTTGAATTCCACAATCTTCTGCCAACATGTGTTGTCAGTTTCTCCTTGACATAAATCTAAGATCCTGTGACCTTTGCTTTTTCATCTCAATCTCACAGGAGTCCAAATAGTTTGCATTTTTCACTGATCTGAATGTTACAGTTATTAGGTATGACTTAAGTATGCCTAAAATGTCCCCCTCTTCCATGCATTTAAGCCAGTTTTCTGTCTCCTCCTCTCAGTTTCCAGAAACAGTTCTCGTTTGAGGACAAAGAGGAGGTAGCCCAGACCAACAAGGCCGTTGATGTCAATCCCCTGGCCAGTCTCCCCAAGGGTGAGTGCAAATTATCCTGCCCTTTCAAAACTACTTAAATCAATAGTTTGAAGGGGTAAGATGTTTGCTGTGTTTGTCTTGTTCAATTACGCCTATTTTAGATTTGCTAGTAGAGTAAGATGACTATGTTGCTATACCACTTAAGGCCCATACATAATACAATGTATTTATTAAAAGGTAACGACACTCACTCTCAATATCTGTTCATTTCCCCCAACAAGACAGACAGATGCAAATCATATTACATTTCTCTGTTGACCGGTTTCTTGGGTGGACTTTTTACTGCCTGTGAGGTTAGGTTGGGGGTTGGGCTCTATGTGGAATGATGGACTATTTTTGGCGTGCTGAGGGCCACCTGTTTTTAGGCAAGGGGGTTTCCTGCCAAGTGACCCTCAAAACACTCCTGTAGTGTGTAGGAAAGGCTAAGGCTCTTCTTACATGTGATAAGTGTGTACACTTGGTTTAATAATGGGAGCACATGACTTAGTTGGGGTGTCACAGGAGCAACCTCCGTCTGGTAAGATCTCTTCAGAAACCTCAGACAGTTTTGCAGTAAAAGATTGAAACATAGATGTGAGCATGGAATGGAGCTGAGTTTACAAGCCAAGATTGTGGTATTGAAACCTAAACATTTCATTATTATTGCAGTCTACAATTGGCATGTTGTTCTGTAGTCAAAAGCAAGATTGTGGCTGGGCCTTTAAGTGGACTTAAAGAAGTTTTAGTTTTTATTTAGCAATTGTTTTATCTTTAGGTTGGAAACACAGAGGAACATTCCTGATAATCTTGAATTGAATCACTTACCATACTGATGCGTTGTGTATAGGTGAAGGTAATTTGAACTATATTTCGTTGACTGAAACTGCTTGTTGGCTCTAGATATTAGGCACCACTGAATTATCAGTTTTTACTCTTGCACCAGTGAGATGCTATGTGGGAAGAACATTTAATTAATCTTGATTTCAATGTTTATTTTGTCTTAAGCAGCATTAGGTGTGAAAGATTCTGAAAGTTCTTTGTGCATATTCCGAGGTACTTTAGGCGGGTTTTGGCTCATAGCTGTAACTTCATTCCAGCAGCTGTGGTGCTCTGTGAAGGCCAGGAAATTTTTAGTGTTGCTTGAGAGCTCTTGGATTTTCATGGAGTCATGATGATGCTGTGAATGCTTGAATAAAAGTGATTTCTTTACTGGGGAGGTAAAATATGTGCAAAAAAGGCAGTAAATACATATTTTTGTTGTAAATGTCATTCTTAATCCATCATTTTTAGTAAAATAAAAGGAAAAACCAATGCTTTTTTCTTACAATACAAGTGAAGCTTGGAGAGGAATTTGTACCAAATTGAAAAGCAGTCACCACAGTGGAAAAACATGAAAATGCAGTTTACACAAGACATTACTGTTCCATAGTGACATGCAGAATATGTAAGTGCCAAAATGAAAAACAAACCCTCTATTATATTGCTTTAATGTTGCTTAACCTCATTACTGAAAAAAGAGCATGAGGATTTGCATTTTTAAAAACTGAATTAATGTCAGAATCGAATACAGTCCACTTTATAATGTAATGAAGTCAAGGCTTTCCGCTGTGCAGTACTTTAAATGGATTTTCCTCATTGAAATGCAATCATGAAGTGAAAACAGTGAAATGCACTGCGCATATGACATTACTTTTTCATAGATGACATGCGGAATATGCGCCAAAATGAAAAGCAAAAGCTCTGCTCCATTATTTTCAGAATGTTTGACCTCTTTTTTTGTACTTGAAGTGAATTTGCCTCATTAAAATGCAACCAAAACAGTGAATGAATGCACATACGAGTGAATGTGGAAAACATGGCAAAATGAAAACTGAAAGATCCATTACACTGATTTAACATTGTTTTAAGTTCTGCATGGTGGAAAGCAATATAGTCATGTCTGTATTACATTTCAAGATGGACTTCATTTCTGACATAAATTCAGTGTTTCGTTCTTAAAATACAAATCCTTATGCATTATTTTTCAGTAGAGAGGTCAAGTGACATGAGAACGATGTGATAGTGTTTTTCATTTTGACATGTATTCTCATGTCACTATGGAAAAGTAATGTCACGTATGCATTGCATTTCACGTTAGTGATTGCGTTTCAGTTTGGCCTGAATTTCTCTCCATAGTGATGTCCATATGGCAAGTACTGTAGTATATCACCCGTTCTGTTTGTCTGTAACTCATATGTGGTATTCCCAACACCCTATCTAAAGATTCCATTCCATTTTCCTCTATGTTGAGACATATGAAGCTCATGTCCACTTACCCTCTTTCTCTACAGTCTCAGAGTTGAGGAAACGTTTTGAAAGCATCAGCACGAGCCAGAGTGACTGCTGGGACATGAACAGGTGAGACTTATTAATGAGCAATTACACTACTGAATGAATGTTTAAATACATGAGTGTCTGTGTACTTTAGTTTGCACATTTGTGAATTTGGACGTGTTTTAGTGGCTGTCATTCATTCCAGTGGTCTGTCTGTCTTGTCCTTCTCAGGAAAGAACGAATTGCACGGCGGCTGGAGGGAATTGACAGCGATATTCAGCTATCCCTTCCAAGTGCTGGTCTGGTGACCCATCGGCTGCTGGAGGAGGACACGCCCAGATACACCCGCGCAGCAGACTCATGTGATCCATGCACAGGTAAGACGTGTAATGGTGTGAAGAGTCTGCATGGTAGCTTCATTGTCTAATTAAGTATCTAAGTAAAAACATTAACACCTTGAAACGTCAAGTTGTGTATGCAAAAATATTGTACTAAAATGGTTTTGGTACAATTATGCAAAAACCTGTTTAAGTAAATAGGTTCACTTCTCAGTACTCTTTTGTATTGACGTAATTTACAGTGTGAGGTTATTTTAACCCGTTAAACACTAGTCTTATTATTCAGTTACTAGTCTTAAAGCTTATTATCCAGTAATTTCTAGAGTTTAAGGGGTTAAGTTGAAGGGGGGAACCGACACTTTGTAAGTAGTGATGGAGAAGTTAACAGTTTTAACTATATCCTGTGGTGTGATTTTAGGGCTGTAGTCAGGGCCACTTTTGTCAAATTCACGAGAAGTCCGAGACTGTAACTAGTCAAGATCAAGTCAAGACCGTGTCTAAAAGGGGTCTAGTCCAGATGAGAATGAGACTGTGTCAAGATCGATACCACCCCCTGAAAAAAAGTTCTGTTTTGTTTGGTACAGCTTCGCATGGATCAAAAGAATTAATGCTTATAATCCTAGCATTATTATACTGATTAAATTAAATTTTATAATTAATTACATACTTGTGTCAAGAATCACATTTGCAATCAAATTCCATTCTGTATTGACAGGTTCGAGTTTGCACTTGACTTTTTGCACTTGACCTTTTTTTTTTTGTTTGTTTCCATGTCAGGATTTGACACAAATATGGCATTTTTTAATTTAATGCAAAACTGTACATACAGCAATAATTATCAAATTCAAATCATTACACAGTATCTCCTCTTTTACTTACAAAACACAGATTTTGTATTGATGGAAAGTTTGTAGTATTCCTTCAGTAGTCCATTTTTTAAACATAGTCAGATGTGGGGAGGTTTCTTGGCCATTAGTGCCTGCCACGCAAGGAAACCCACCTAAGCCAATGTCAGTTAGCTACATCAAACATGCACAGACACAAGGATTTGGTTTTAAGTTGCTTGAGTACGAGTCATTCCACACTGGTAACAGTTAAAAAAAAAAAGAAATAAAATGCAAACAAGTCCAAGACAGCATTGCTTGAGCTTGACATGGCTTTATTATAGTGAGACTTAAGTGCTACAGCACTATGTAAAACCCAATAATGGTAATACTGCTTAAATTTTTGATAACAACTATAATTATGTACAATTATAATGTAATATTGAAAGTAAATAGCATTTTGCTACAGTTTCCCTGCAAAGCTTGTACCAGAATTATGTATGTCTACATAGTATTAATCTGAGCAGTGAGCAGTCACGGTGATGGTGATAATTTCATGTTTATTTTACTTGTAGTTTTTTGTGAGAGATCAGATATGGTACCTGTAGTGATGTGATTTCGGTGTCTGTTAGTGCTTCTGTAATTTTTACTTTACATTGATGATATTAAAAACCGGGATGGCTTTGGTTTCTGATCTCATGATAGGAAATATTCATTCTGTCCCATCCCTAACTATAACTCACTTTACCCCTTCAGTTCCTCTTCAGCACTTTGGTAAAGATGACCCCGGGTTGTCAGACCTTCATGGCTCCCGGGCCCACACTGACCCTGTGTATAACCCTGGCTCTGTGGAGACTGCAGGGCAGGAGTCTAAAGCTGAGCGCATCGCCCGCTACAAGGCAGAGCGCCGCCGGCAGCTGTCCGAGCGCTACCGCATCCTGCTGGACGAAGAGGCTGACGCAGACTACAGCAGCCACTACTCCAGAATTCGGAGAGAGCCTGAGGGGTCCGACCGGCAGCACAGGCTGCAGGTGGAGGGAGTAGAGGGGTTAGAGCATAATGCCTACACCTCCCACTCTCGCGCAGAGCGACCCACCACTCAGACCAGGACAGATCAGGATTACAGCCGAGAACGGGCCGGGTCACTGTCTGAACATGAGAGGAGGATGAATCTGGAAAACCAGCGGAGGGCACAAGACAGAGGAGGAGTGTGTGGAGGAGGCGGAGCAGCTCCTGACCCCTCCACAACTTACATGGACACTTCTGGGTGTGCCAAAGCTCCAGCGAGAGAACAGGTGGTCACAGGGGTCCCCAGCTCGCCCAAGGCGGGCCAAACAGTCAAACCAGCTACATCTCCTGGGGATTTTTTCATCGAGCAACAGGCCCACAATGTTCTGCACAGACAAGGGTAAGCTGACTATCCTTAACTGTCACTTTATGACGTTATTTTATATTCTTATAAATAAAAAAAACACAAGTTTACATTTATTGTGTGCAGCTAGCGTAAGAATGTTAAATAAATTGTGTTTTAGTCATATGTGTTTTAACCACCTATCACTTTACCTGGAGAACAGTGACCAGGAGTCACTTATATTATACAAATTTATCATCTTTTTGTGAAATATTTTCATAGGCTATGTAGCTCTACCGAGATGTCTTCCTAAAAAAATCTCATACTGATTCATACCAAGAAAACCTAGCCCATAAGTGGGATAATGGAGACTTGTGAACTACTAGAGAGTCCATTTTGGATGCCGACTTGAGCAGGTTTTGCTTGTGGAATTACCATAAATTCATTCCTCAGATTCCACCTATTTTTCAAAATGTCTGCATTATTCAATCCTTGAGATGTAAACAAAGTCATTCTGAGTGGTTTATTGTGTTCTCAGGCTCTGATTTCTTAGCAACTGTGATGATGGGAAGCAGAGGTTGTGTTGTAATATAGCCTTTTTTATGTACTGTTCAAAATGACCAGTGAGCCTAAATGTGCCTTTTGAGTTTATATGTGTAATGTTGATAATGGTAAAATAGTGGCCTGTCTTGGGCATCATGTAATAACTTTTGTGAGGTAGCTTTAAGAGACATTAAAAGCTTCAGACATCTGTTCTGATAACCACCACTGTGAACAGTTCTGACTCTGAAAGTTTGTCTACAGTAATGGGCCGTCAAACCACTCTGAATGACTTCTCAGCGGTTTAATTATGCAGAAATTTTGAGAAGTTGGTAGAATTCTCTTTCAAAAAATGACAAGATAAAATGTGACTTATTTCAAACTACACATGCCTTTTACTGCGTACTTAAGTAAATAAACAAATACTGAAAAATAAATATTCGGTTAGATGCATGTTCAGATAGCCATTTCCAGCTCTAATACTTTTTTCTTTTTTGATGTTTTTTCATTTCACTCTTTTCCTGTTTAAACCAAATACCCAGTCTACTCCAAGACAGTCCCTGACAAGCCATGTGCCATCATATCTCTTCATCTAGTTCTTACTCTCTCTAATCTAGAGCTCAGTTTAGACAGAGCGCTGGCCTGTAGTGCTCTGAAGTAAGTAATTTAGTTAACAGACTCTTTCCTCATGGAGAACCACAAAATGCACAGATCCTCCCAAGATTTGGCACTTAGAGGATTAAGGATTTTCTCCTGTAGTGGGTAGACCATGTCCACGTTTATCATTATAGTTCAGTTTTGTCTTATTTGATTGTTGATTTATTCCTTAATGAAGAAACAAGGTGTAGCATTAACAAGTCTAACTTTAAGAAGTAAACTTGATTTATGCTTTAATTTCGTTTCTGTCCTACCATAGACAGATACTGAGAAGTTAATTGATGTCTTCAGTATCTTGGAAGGTTATGATGAATAGATTTTTAATCATGGTATTTTGTTCATATTTGATTATCTTGCAGATTTAATATTTTCCTTATTCACCTGCTCTGGTTTACATATTTGTGTTAAGAAGATAATACTGAAATAAGAAATCAAGTTACTGGGATGTTTTTTGAGGCTTTATGAAATAGCTGTTCAGGTAAATAGCTGTTCAGAATATTCAGGTAAAGTCTGTTGTGCTTCCAAATTTAACCCACATGTCGTTTTGTCATGAATTTTCACAAATCCTCCTAAGAGGACATGGTTTTTGTCCTGTTCTTGCACATATACTTCATTAACTGTAATCTCTGCTGGAATTTAGTTTGACATGTCAGTGTTTCTTCCTTTTGACTGATTTGGTGAAAAGTTTAAGACATGACCTTAAAAATGCAGTTCACTGCAGAACGAGCTCAGATTTCATAACTTGGCAGAGCCTCCTGTCCTGTGTCAACGCCAGTGTTGTATTACTGTCATTGCTGGAGGGTTACAGTCACTGTGAGATTGGGAGGTTTACTCTTTCTCTTTGCACCACATATCCTTATCATCCGCTGGACATTTTATAGTGTGCACATGACAGCTGTTCATAGATATTGCAAGTGAGTTCAACTTAAGTTGAACACAGCTTTTCATGTGGATGATGAGATCCTGATATTTCATCGTTTGGCTCCTCTTAGACTCTAATTTTTCCTGCCTTTTTATGTATATATATATATATATATATGTGTATATATATATATATATATATATATATATATGTATGTATGTGTGTGTGTGTGTGTGTGTGTGTGTGTGTGTGTGTGTGTGTGTGTTTTTATATATGTTTGTTTGTTTACAAAATTTGAAAATGCCAGCTACTGTTATGCTATGTAAATTTTTTCTCCTTCTCCTGCAAAGTTACTTTTATGGAGATTTGAGGTTTTTTTGTTTTTTTTGTGGTGTGCTTTGACTTAAAACAAGGTTATACACGGAAAGAATCTTGCCCTTGTCCTCAAGAGTTCTGAAACATGCTGCCATATTGGCCAAGCTTCATATGCATTCGCTTGAGCGTGATGTTCCATGAATGGTAGCTACATTGAGCAGCTCACTTGCTGTCATGTGTCTCTCGCTGCGTTTAGCTCCCCTGGCCAACCAGCCAGTCAATGGTCACTCCAGACTGACTCAGAAGGAGACACCATTTCCCCAATCAACTGGCCCTCCAGGTACCTGCCTTTCAGGATGATTGGGTGTGCCTGACACACGCCTTTTAATATCCACCCCATCTAACCTCATGGCAAAGTTCAAGACAATCTTTAATCCCTTCACTTAGACCAATGATTCCCGACCCTGGTCCTGGAGAACCTGCACGGTTTAGAGATTCAGCTCCCATCACAAAACATGTGAACTAAGCAGCTAAATTAACAAGCCCTTTCTGTGCTTAAGTGAGTGTGTAGGAGGAGAGAAAGCACTAAAATATGTAGGACAGGGACTCTTCAGGACCTGGGTTGGGAAACTATGACTTGGACCAAAGAGCTCCAGTACTTTATTCAGTTAATTATTAAACTCACCTTGTAATGAACGAGTAGGTTAGTATCAGTTGTAATTTAAGGTGAGACATTTTGAAGCCTCATTCTGAAGCAGATTATGGAGGAATTTCTCAGTGTATATATTGCTAATAGCTTGATTTATGGTATTTCAACAATGTGTTCTATGAAGGCTTTTCTTCAAAGCAGTGGTAACCAAACATGCTCCTGGATATCTACTTGCCTGTGGAGTCTAGTTCCGATCTGCTGAGGCTAATTAACTTCCATAGTCCTTGATTGGTTGGATCACGTCTTAGTGAAATGTAAGCATGTTAAATACAGGTTGGAACTAAACTCTGCAGGACAATATATTAAAAGTATTCAAATATTAATTTCATTGTCATACAATTAAGGCAGGTCTAGGTGAAGGGTTTAGACATTGATATTTGAACTGGGCCTTTCATTGCTCTAACAAAAATAGCTACACCTTTTTCATCAGTCTCATCCCACACTGTTAACAAGTGTTGGTTATTTTTTGATTTTTGAATTTTTGTGTGTGAACCATTTGTTGAGTTTACAAATATCAGCAGTTTGCTGCAGTTCTCTTGCCTTTTTTCTTTTTTTAACAGAACTAATGATCTCAGCCAGCCAGTCACCGAGTCAATTCAACTTTTCAGTGTGGATCTATGTTTTAAGGAAATGTTTTAAATCTACACTCATTCTTATATGGATGTTTTGTTTTTGATAAATCAGTTGAATACACTGTCCTGTGCTCACAGTCCAAAATAAACACAATTACGAGATATGAAGTGTGAAATTGAAGTGTAAACCCTGCAGGTCTTCCTCTGATTTTGTCTGAGTATACCACATGAAAAGTGTGACGAGCTGAGCAGTCACACAAAAACGATGCCAAGCTTCCAGGGACTCATTTTACAGACAAATTGGGTTTCTGGTTTTCATCCGTTCGACTCTGGAAAGCGTGGTCCTGGTGGTGTTTCTGTGTCCTTCTGTGACCCCACTGTTTGGTGCAGTGGCTGTAGTGAATATAGGTTATAATAATGTATAGTGTGACTGTTTCTCTTCTTCCTTCATTTCCCTTTCCCAGTGCATCTGCTGTCTAATCCAATGTCAAAGAGAGAAAGTATGGAGGAGAGGAAGGCGATGAGAGTGAAAAATTTGGTTCTGGCTCATCTCCTTCCACTTGCCTTGAGTCAGCAGACTTTACTGAGTGCTTTCTTATGCGTGGCCAAGAAAGGACAAATTAATACAGAACAATAAGTACTAGACATCAGTCATTTTTAAAGTACATACATTTATTTCACCTGGTTTCTCACAGATAAAATACAAGTTGTGTGTGTGTGTATAACGCTGTTGGTGGATGAAAACCTCAGTATGTGAAATGTAAATGAAAACAGAAAGCAGTGATTTTATAAATCCACTTTGACCCATATTTAAAATAGAGCAGTACAAGGACAAGATATTCAATGTTTTAGCAACTTTTATTGTTTATTTTTTAAGTTATTTTATGCCCTACATTGTCTGAACATTTCATGACCAGTGGACATAGACATGGTCCAAAATTCAGCAACAGCGTGCTTACTTTTAGGTAATTTGCTTGATATTTTGAAAAAGCAAATTGATAAGTTTTTGTCTAGAACTGAAATATGGTTTTCTTGTGCTGTTCCAGCTGCCTTGCTGAAGCAGATTTCTCTTTGACCAAGTATGTTGTCAGCTTGAGATGTGCATAACTGTTTGTAGTGCCCACATAGCTTAAGCTCATCTGCTACGGTTACGTCGAATAGAAACTGTTTGTTTCTGTTTTTTGTTTTGTTTTATTTTGTTTGTTTTTCAGCTGAACAGTTCCTTTTAGATCCATTTTGGCTCCATTTCTGTGTTTAGTTACTGGAATGGAACATATCAAAAAGACTCATTAATTCGTCTAATGTCTCTGTTCATGTGACAAGCATATGAAGAAACCAGTAAATAAAGCCTGATACTGGAGGAGTGGAAAGATAGGTTGACTTCTGTCTGAGGAGTATTATAGTTCTCAGCTTCAAGAGTTCATGTTTTGACAGAGGTTAACAGATGGAGGAGGGAGTACAGGGATATAAAGTGCACTGACAGCTGTTCAGAAAGAAGAGAGAAAGATCAATTATTGGTGCTTTGGAGTTGGAGTTTACCAAGCCTAACCAACATTTTTTTCTAAACTTGATGAAATGGCAAACGTCTCAATGAAAAACTCTCTCTAGAAAAAATAGTTTTTGTATAGTACTTTATATACAACTAGACTGTGATTAAGGATGTGGTACTTGGAACTGAAGGGTTTAAGTGAGAGACTCTTGCCATCTGCTAAACCCCCTGCAGAGAGCTTACTTTGTCTTGGAGTGTTAACCTTAATATAAATGAACAGTAATTAAAGATTAGGGTGAAACATTTACACTGGCGTACTATCAGGGAGTAGTTTGCATTTACACATTTATTACACAGCAGAGTGAAAAGGTGAACTAGGAACTTTCTCGTAAATGACTACAATGATTTGTGCTCTCTTCGTTGCTCCACAACCCTCAAAGAGTGGTTATCATCTTATGGGCTTGCTTTTAATGAATAACCAGTTAAAGGGATGAAATATTCAAACTGAGTAATGGTTCAGTTGTGAAGCAACGTTAACATGCTGTTGCTGCCAGTTGTAAGTGACTCCAGCTTCGCATTCCTTTCAGCCTCAGGCAGTATTCGTTCCGGTACGTCTGGGGGGGAATGTTTCAGCTCGGGCGCACATTTCTCATTACTACAGCCACAAAGAAGATGTACTCCGATACTGCATTAGTATCTGAAAGTTTTCCCAAAGGTTATCAGGATGACAACTTGACCACATGCTAATGCTGCCAAACCGTAAATGGCGTATTTAAAGAAGAAAGATGAGCAGAAAACTACTTTAGATTGAGACAACAAGAATTTTAATGCAATCTCTGCCTTTCCCATAAAACGTGTTATTCCCTCCTTAATCATGTGATTTTTTTTTCTTTTTTTTAGATTTTTTTTTTCTTTTTTCTTATTCCTTGAACTGCTATCTAGGGGTCTTGTATTATATCATGTATTGTGATGCATCCATCTGAATATGGAGATTCAGCTGCATCAATTTTGGAATCTTAGTGTTTTTCCACTGCACAGTCACAAACAAGAAGTGACCCAAACTTCAGCCAACAGAACTTACATTTCCACCTACTTCAGACAGCTGGAATCATTATAATAACCACTTTAAGATATCTTATTTGTCTAATTAGCTATCTTGCTTGCTAGTTAGATGAATTTCTTGACGAAAACGAAACGTACTAAAGTGTTTATTTACACAGACTCGTGTGGAATCTAGCAAAGCTTTTTTTTTCTTTTGAGAGTGTGAACAGACAAATTAGCTGTCTTGCTTACTATAGGTAACACTAGTTATACTGACAGGAAATAATATTTTGTGCTTACAAATGTCTACAATTGCAAATTAGGGTCTTGCATCGCACCTTGAATGCAGTGACTACTGTTGAAAGTATAAAACTGTAGTTCAATAAGAGAACTCAAAATGACGAAAGTAACCAAATGACTGACACACTAAAATGCCACACAGGCCACAACATGAAAATTCTGAAAGCGGAAATATCGATTTTTATCTTATAAATAAGCTGGACACTGATTCAAGGTGGGCAGCATGGTGGGTAGCGCTGTCACCTCACAGCAAGAAGGCCCTGGGTTCGATTCCCCAGCTGGGCAGCCAGGGTCCTTTCTTTGCAAAGTTTGCATGTTCTCCCTTTAGTCCTCTAGGTGTGAGTGTGTAGACTGTGTGTCTGCCCTGCGATGGACTGGCGACCTGTACAGGGTGTTTCCTGCCTTTTGCCTAATGGCCGCTGGGATAGGCTTCAGCACCCCCTGCGACCCAGAAGGATAAGCAGCTTAGAAAGTGTGTGTGTGTGTGTGTGTGTTTGTGTTTGTGTTTGTATGTGGTGCAAGGTGCACCTGATAAAAAAACAGGGTAGCAAATGTTTGATGACTCATGAAGAACAAAAGCAGCAGCAAAGTTGACAATCCTTTACTAATCCTAACTTTAACATACATAAATGAGTAAATAAGTAAAATTGGTAGCATTGAGATTTGGTTTTCCACATAGAATCATCTGTATAATCAAAAAAAAAATTTTTTTGCAAGTGTGAAAATATGAACAAAAAATAGTTAGTTCTAAAAATATCTGCAGGTACCAAAAAACATAAAACTGGAACCTTTGGTACTGGACCAGTGTTACCTTTCTGCTGCCAAGGTTTGTGCAATGGAAAAACACCCTTAAAATAGATGATAATCAGTTATAAACATGTCTTGTGAATGAAGTGCTCATATTTTGACCAGAATAAATTATTATTTTCAAATGTAAAATCCAAAGTCAAATCCAAAAAAAGGCCTGGTGTGTGGTTTTTATTGTCTGTGTTTAACTTCTGTGAAAATAGTTCCTCCTGTCACGTTTGTGTTTTATTTGTTTATTTTTGACAGCTAATTCAGAATCTTACCGAAAGAATCAAGTCCAGTTGTGTTAAAATGTGAAAGTTCATGATGCATTGAATTGTTTCTTAAAGAATTCCCTCGAATCATAATGAAGTCAGAAATACATCCCTTCTAACTTGGTGTTAACCTTTCTCTCTCTCCTTCCTGAAGAATCCGAGTCAGGGAGAGACTGGCTCGTGATGAGCTGTCACACAAAGGTCCTGAGCTCAGCTCTAGATCAGAAGCTCCAGTGTACCGCCGTCACACACAGCCTTTTCCCGGATACCATGAGCACTCAGCCTACCAGGAGCAGTCGAACCCCCGGCTTCTTTACCAACCTTCCCAGCCACAGCACTTCCGCGCTGACCGCCATGACCATGGCTGCCATGGCTACCTATCCATGGGCAGTGAGCCTGCACCCCAACCATGGCCAGAATCAGAGGCTGCAGTGGAGGAAGTGGGGAGTCAGAGGGAGGGAAGGAGGGATGTGAGAGCAGAGGGGCTTCTGCGGAGCCGGAAGGCAGTGTTGCCCTCAGAAGTTCGAAGAAGAGAGAGAAGCACAGAAGACCAAAACCGTGGAAGATCTGAGCAAGTGGACTTGACCTCGCAACACCAGGGTCGTTCTGCATCCAGCAGAGAGATGATGGAGGACCTCAGAGGGAGGCGTGGAGGATGGTCAAGAAGGGAGGAGGTCACTGAGCATGTATCTAGACTTCAGGCAACTGAAGCAATGCATTTAAGAGCCAGACAAGCACAGGAAAGAACGGATGGTTGGCATCACCAACGAGGAACCAGCTATCTGCCAGCTCACGCCACGGTCCAAGCACCTGCTCCACCAGTCAGTGGAAGATGGGCTCCAGATCCAGCCAAACATGTAACCCAGTACATACCAGACACAAGCAATGCCCAAACCATGCCTGTGCATTCAGTACCCATCCAGGAACCCATCCACAGTAGAGAGGCTGTTCCTCAAGAGGCCATCATCAATGGAGACCACTCACCCATTGACGTGAAGGTTTCTGTAGCCCAGCTCCGTCACTCTTACCTGGAGAGTACCACAAGCACCCGCAAACCTGAACAGTATGTCATGAATTAAACGCCTGGTCCTGTGGCTCATGCTTGCATATGGTTCTCTATGAGACTAACCTCAGAAATTAACCAGTGCTCAAATTGCTTCTAACAAGGAACTTCTAAGCAAGGAAGAAACTGTTTAGAAATATGGAAATAACTGCTTGCCGATTTTAACCCCTATTGCTAGTCTGGTTGGCACAGTCAATAACCACTATCTTCAGCCTTCCAATGTGGCTTAGGGTGCTGGATTGTCTGTGTTTATCCTAATAATCGTTCGTCTTGTGTCTACACCAGTGCTTGACATTAATCTGGGGACTTTTCAGCCTTTTAATCTCCTGATTTTCTGATTCTGCATTCACTTGATTCTTCCTTTTCCTTCCTCCGATGTCGCTGCTTGCTCCCACCGTTCCGTTATGGTAGGGTAGAGGGATTGCCTGCCGTTACAGAGGTTCCTTGGAGAAGTCAGAGAACTGGGAACAGGTCCCGTCGCCCCCGGCGATACATTTCTCCCACTGAGGATAGAAAGACCTCAGAGAGGTTTAGAACTCAGCCGGTCACTTCAGCCGAGCGACTGGAATCTGATAGGTAGTGTTCGTGTGAAACAGCTAAACGTGCACGATAACTGAAGTGTGAACTTGCCCTGAAATGTGACTTGCACAACCTGTGCATCACACAGCTAGTCTGAAGATATCTGACTGATATTGATGCTGATGTGTTTGTGTAGTTTGCAGAACAGCCTGTACAACTAACTGCATGTTCAGCTTTTTTTTGAGGGTTAGATCCAAACACCAAAGTGCACACTCGGTGAAAGCTTTATCACACGTTCTTGTGTGTAGCTGTTTTTTCTTGTGCTTTTATTAGGTGAGCGCAGGGCACAACCTTATATGTAATTTGGGTATTTTATGTAGTCAAACAACTTGAAATAGAACATGCTTTGAGTAATGTTCTCCTAGTCCACCTGCAAATTTTGACAGCAGTTGAACTGATATTTCTGAAGATTCATTCTGAAAAGAAGTTTTTGTACCACAAAGGTAGTGTTTTTCATAAGTGTTTTTCGCTTACTGAGTTGTGTGCTTTGTTTATTATTTTATTTTAACTATATTACATTGATCACCCTTATGGTGGCTGTAATTTAGCACCATTTTGAAGCATACAAAATAACCCACAATGAGAGCTAGCCAGACTAAAGTACAGCCTCCACACGGTTAAGTTAATTTAAAAACAATGTTACAACAATGGCTCTCCAAATAAACAGTGAGAAATCTATATTCTCTCTTATAAAATCAAAATGTTTTTATGCACAGATTCATAACAGATCTATTCCTGCCGCTTTTAGCTAAATTGTTCACAAACGATAGGTGCTGGAAACAGTTCATGTTTTCATCTGTTGGCTTATATACTGTTTGCTTGTATAAAGGTATTTATCTTGCTCACATATTTTTGAAGTCAGTAAGCAAAAGCAAAATGCCAGATTGTGCTCTGCTCTTCCCTACATTCCCTCAAATCAATACATTGTACCAAGTAAAAGAACATTAATTCATTCGTTCACAAAAAAGAATGTGTTTGAATGTTTTCCCATTGGATTAGACTCCAAAGATCAGCTTTTAATAAATAAAGAGTTCGTTGTTGTTTTTTGTGGTCCTGTGGTATGTTGGCAGACACTGCTAATGCTGTAATGTAGTGCTTTCTGGATTAAGCCATTTTAATTGTGCCTGATTTTCCTTTTCAAAGTTAGCTGCTGTTTGTGTTAATCTAACTCTTTTTCTCCTCCCCCTTCCTCTTTCCCAGAATACAAAGCTTGCTGACTGCTCACTTGACCACTCATGCTGTCGCAGTAGATTGATTAATTCATTAGCTAACTGCCTTGCACTTTTGGATGCATCGCATCTCTGAGGTTTTTTTGTAATGTTGTTGTTGTTTTTGTCCTGTGCACAGGTCTTGCCCAGTCTCAGAACCGCAGGTCACTGAAGGTAAGTCAGTATCGTTTTAACTTAAGCAACTGCTGTTGAAAAACTTGAAATATAATTTGTTTTACTACGCTGCTTTAAAGTAGGAAATTCTTTGTTGTGTGGCAGATTGATTATGACGTTTTCCTTGTATAATCAAGTCTTTAAATGCTTTTGAAGGCTTTTTACAGGCAAATGAAAACCTTTGGCTAAATAGTTCCATGGACAGGGTGACGTAACCATATTGCAGGACCATTTGCTTTTGTTTTGAATCTGTGTGCTCATTATTAGGACTCACAGTAGCATGACCTTGTTCTACCGATTTACTGCTGTTCCCTGTCTGTAAAGCACAAGATGTTTAGTGTCCTCTGAGAGTGTCCTCTGAGAGTGTCCTCTGAGAGCACAATAAAGTTTTAAAGTGGGGACAGCTTATATTCCAGTCTAGAGTCTGCAGATAGAAAGGGAACAGCAGTAGATGTTAACTACTAAGGAGTTCTGATACAAGCTGTTTGTATTTTTGCTATGATGGCAAAATGTGTATTAGGGAGTTCTACCATAACAGTTGTATGTCAAAGTATCTGCATCTTTGTAAGAGATCAGTAATGCTTGAAAGACAGATTGAATCAGTGCGTGTATTTAACAATTCTGAAGGCTTATTCCAGATAGAGTTCTCCAGTCATTCTAGCAAATTGGTTCAAATCAGAGTTCAAAACACATTTCGGCCTTTAACTGATTACACTTTAGACTTAAATCATTTTGCCTTGAATGAACCTACGCCTTATTATGTTTATTTTATTAAATGACTGAACGTTTAATTTTGTCACTACCAAAGTAATAACACTTCTGAAACCAAATGTTTCAATATACTCTCTGGAAAAAAAAGGTGGTCCCCTTCTTGTTGTTGCGGTGGTACTCTCAAGACTACATCTCAGTACCTTTAGTTAAGGAATGTAATTGTACCATAATCCATTAAAATTATATTTTTAAAGTTGTAATGACTCCACACACCCCGTCTTGTCTCCAGGCTTTTTATTGTTTTGTTCTAGATGGATTACAAGTGTGTATTTTGCTTCTTGGAAAAACATTATAAGACACAGTTGGACCTTAAAATCATACCATTGGGGATACATTTACATTGTTTGTACCTTGATGAACAAAAAATGTACCTGCACAGAACCTTTTTCTCTTAGTGACTGTTTCGATAGGAACAATTTTAGCTAATTTTGAGCATAACTTAAAAACGCTAGCCAGTACATGACTAGCAGACACAGCTTTAAACAGTTGTACACACGTAAAATTACAGCATTTATCATTAAAACACAAAAGCAGTTTACTTAATTGCAGAAAGTGACTGTTCTTAATGTAACACCCTGATGTTCAGATTTTGGACACATTTACTTCAAAACAATAGGATCAAATTGTTTATCATGTGGCCATAAAGGACAGGGATGTCCTTTAGTCACACTTCCTGCCCTAACATGCAGAGGTGTGGCTGCAATAAGTCTTCGCATATCAAATAAAACTCTTTTCAGTTGTGACATAAAAACATAGGACAGCATTGATTTTATTTCAAAATTAAACTCATGATGAATCTAAATCTTTCAGCCTTACCTAAAAGAAAAAAAAAAAAATATATTATTTTCACATGCTGAAATTTAGAGCCTTTCAGTAGAAAGTACCATATAAATAATGATTTTGTTGTGTATGTATTTGTCATATTACTGTCTCAGTTAATGCATTGGGTTTAAATAGATCATAACATAATCCTTGTAAGTATCTATGGTCGGAGTTCTTTTTTAATAGTTATTTTTTAAATGGTCACATTGGCATTAGCCTGCAACTCAGCAAATTCATCCCACACCCAAACCTTTTTTCCCTTCAGTGCTTTTTGGCTGAACACGTGTTCATACCCCCACCTAGAAGCTGTATTGGAGCCCATTCTTTATTGATGATGTCAGAAGTTCAGGTTCATCCCACCTGCTGGCCCATGTGTCACGTTTCTTCTGCTTTAAAGTCATGATTGTCCAAATTAAGCTGCAGTAGACATACAGCCTCCTAACAGCAGGTCATGGCCAGTAGCCAGTGTCTGAACTCCAAACCTCCACTTGTTGACAACAGAAATAATCGGCCTGAAATTGGTTAGAGCGTGGAAAGCAAAAATTCCTGCTTTTCGCCCTCTCTGAAATCTTTTCACCATGTGTGTTGTCCTCTGCAAGCCATCTGCTTTGAAAGGGTTGTTCTCACGAATATTCCTTCTGTCTCTCTTTTTCCTTAAAATCCTTTTTCTTCATTGTCCCTTCTCTTATTCTTGTCCCAGTGGATGAGGAGAAGTTGGATGAGAGAGCAAAGATGAGCGTTGCTGCCAAGCGCTCTCTCTTCAGGGTATGTTTGTGTGAGTGCTTGTTTGAGTGTTGGTATGCTCTATTGTCTACTATTATTCAAGCCTCCAACTGCTCACAAGATCCTTCATGTGCACTTCAATGAGTTAAGAATGTCTTGGTTTTCCATAACTGAGTTTTATTAGTTCTTTATGAACGTTGGGAAGTCATTTCTCAATGGTTTCTCATGTGAAGTCCTGCTGTGTCTCAGGAGCTGGAGAAGAGTGTGGATGGGGCAGCTTTAAAGCCACACAGTCATAACGCTGCCTTAGCACGCAGACTGAGACGCAACCAGGATCGCTACCGCACCCAGCCTGTCACATCAGAGGAAGTAGTCATCGCTGCTACGTAAGCACACAGGCACAAACATGTGCACATCCAGATGTTCTGTGTGTCTCTGCTTCTGTGAATCTGTCTCTCTCTCTACATCTGTTTGTGTTTCTTGCTGAAGTCTGTTAGGAAAACTGTGATAGTCACACATAGTCACTAGGTTTTAAAGACTGCGTAACAATTTGATTAGATTATGTAATGGCATATACTTACATAGATCTTCCAATATGTTTAGTAAATGTTAGTCTCTCATATAAATGCTTTTAAGCGAGTAATGTCTGTTTTCTTTGCGGTTTATAATATATACGTCAGTCCAGGAAGAAACTGTCCTTAGAGCCCCAGTTACTGAGCCCCTAAAGGGAGAACTCTGTAGTGTGTGCAGTGTTGATGGAATTTAATGTCTTTATATTTTCCAAATATATGATGCCATCAGATCAGGGCCCATATTCAAAGCTTTTTAGAGTACTGATTTAAGATTCATGTCTTATTTACAGTGATATTACTGGCAGGAAAAAATCCTAGATCAGCACTCATAATGCTTTCTGAAAACAGGCCCAACAAGACAACAAGGAACTTTACACAATTTAAAATGTTAACCAGACAGAAACCACGATTTTAGAAGGTCTGTCTATACAATATCTAGTGTCTTATGCAAAAAAGTTTCTTGCACACACTAGGCCTGGGCATGGTTAGCTGCTGCTTAGACATACTTTCTATATTTGTCTATTTTGAGAACTGGCTGATTTAGTGCCAACCACAAATTTAAAAATAAATTGAGTAACTCAGCACCTTTTGGTGTTGGTAATAAACGATTTCATTTCTTGTTTGGAACTTGATGACTGCCAGTACATTCATGTGTGAGCCCCTGCTTGTGTGAGTTCTTGGCTGTTTCCTCTCTGTAGATGATGCACACAAAAGTGATTTGTGTGCTAATAGTTTGCAGTAGCACCAGTGGCTGAGTTCCAAAGCCATGTTTGCGTGCTCTACCGCTATACAGAAATGAGTTGTTTTCCGTTGTTATAGTGGAAGCACTCTGGAATTCACTTACCAAAGCCTGTGGCAAACCGTGAAGTATTATGTTTTTATAATTGTACTAAACCTCTCTGAACCATCTGGACACTTAGGTTCTATGGGAATTGCTGAGAAATTTCCTCAGACTGTATGTCACACTGTGTGAACAGCTCAGTGGAAAACTGACTTTACTGTTGTCTAATGGCTTATTAATGCCCTGTAGTAATCCACTCTTTTAATAGTAAAAGAGAGTTAAACACTATGTATAATGTAAGACATAACATTATCGTCTTTGAAACATCATTTACGGGCTGCTTGTCAATTATTACTGAAATCCAGTTATATCAACCTATCGCCCAGGCCTAGCGCACACCAAAGTTTCAGGGTTTTTTATATATTTGCAGAAGTCTTTTTAGGGGCCCAGTAAGTTTCTGACAATTTAGTTATTAAGATGTTCACTCATTTATTTGTTTCTGATTTTTCCCTCCCTCTTTCCTCGTCCTTTTTTCCCTCTCTTTCATCTTCCTTCTCGTGCTGTGAAGTGTCCCTGGTCCTTTGTCACAGACTGTGTCTGTTCATTCTTCAGTAGCCCGTGTTCCTAGTCCCACTGTAGTCAACAGCACAGTCACCAGGCACAGGTACCTCAGGAGATCTACATACACATGAGCACATGTGCATGTGTGTGTCAGACAGGCATGGTCACTCCTGTGAATACTAACAGTGTGACTAAATGATCTCACAGAGAGCATGCACTTTTATTTTCACACTGTGTTAACATGCTCATTGGGTTCATGCTCTGTGAAGTGAACTAAACAACATTGAGGTTTAAATTAAGTGGGATCAAGTTCAGTAAGGTTGATTGTTATGTTAAAATGCATAGATTATTTTTGCATGTACAGTGTAAACCAGGGATCTCAAACTGTCCTCCTGGAGGTCTACTTTTGTGCAACGTTTAGTTCCAAGCTGTATCAAATAAGCCCTTACGTAACTCTAATGCATCTGATCCAGCCAATTAGGGACTTGGGAATAGGTTGATTAGCTGGAGCAGGTGTGGCAGATTCTGGTTGGAACTAGGCTCTGCAGGAAGTAGATCTCCAAGAACAGGGTTGCTGACCACTGGCGTAAAACTATGCTTGAGTGCTGTGCTCCCTCTTGTGGCAGTGTCAGGATAAGAAAAAAATCACATTTAAAGCCCTTCTGTTTCTTACAGACATTTTGGCTAATATGTATCCTCTCTATATGAGTCATTCTTTGCTCTTCAAAAACATGACCTGGTGGTTTGTAATCTTCTAGATGCCAATTTGATGCAGGTCAATTGATCAAAGGTCACCTTTAAAGTTGTCAGTATCTTACAATATCTGTCACATAAGCATGTGGAAACCTGTGATAAGTGATGGTATGAATGACTCATCATGTTTATTCATTGCTGTGAGATTTTAGATGCCCCACTTTGGTAATATTGTGCTTCCTCAGCAGAGCCCAGTCGCTCATAAGCTGTGCATGCTTCTGCTGTGCCATTACAAATGCACCCACTGCTTTAAATATGCCACTGTAACCTCTGTGTGGTGTTCAGTCATGCTGCCTGTAAAAGAGTCATTTAACCAAACCAGACATTTATTCTGTCCTGGATAAATGGTGCGGAGTTTTGATTTGAAGTATGTGGATGTGCATTATCAACTATGTAACTTAAAATAAAGTCACATTACACTACACTATCTATTTTAGCTCTATGATTTCATGCAGATAATTCAGCTCAGTGAGTTGCATGAGTCGATGAGTCAGCAATCAGTTTTGTAAACTCAGAGCTAATGCTGTGGGAATGGCCTCATCTGTAAGATCTTCATGTGCTCTTAAGATTTTTAAAGTGACTGACAATGATAAAATGGGATGCAGCTGTGAAGCTTCTGGATGTAAATCTTCATTAATATGTTGTTAATGTTCCTGCACGTTTTATGTCTCTCTCTCTCTCTCTCTCTCTCTCTCTCTCTCTCTCTCTCTCTCTCTCTTTCTTTCTTTCTTTCTTTCTTTCTTTCTTTCTTTCTTTCTTTCTTTCTTTCTTTCTTTCTTTCTTTCTTTCTTTCTTTCTTTTTCTTTCTTCCCGCCACCTGCCCCCCACCAACTCTCTCTCACAGCTCTATGGTGGTAAGGGAGCAGGTAAAGAATGCCCGACAGCATCTGGAAAGTTGTGATGCAGAGAAAAGTGTCCACACCGTCCCTGCAGAAGGTCAGGAGGAACCTGACCTGTCCACCCTCAGCCTGGCAGAGAAGATGGCTATTTTTAATAGGCTGACGCAGCAGTCCTCTTTCAGCCCCATCACCCGCAGAGACAGCCGCTCCCGCCGCAGTAACGCCCGCTACCAGACCCAGCCCATCACGCCTGGAGAGGTGAGGCACACAAGCCTCCTTACATTTGTAGACATCTTGCTGTTCTGTTGGGAGTAATGTTTGATTTTCACTGTTCCTTTTTGGTAAAGTAATAAAGAAAATACCTGCAAAGGTTTTGATAACATTAATTAGCTGTTAGCTAATAATTTCAGTACAATTTACAACATTCATCTTTGTTTTCATTAAAGTGTCTTCCTTTGACAGTTTTCTTTTCGGAGCTATTGTTAAAAACACACATAAGGAACATCTTTTGGTCCAAAGGTGTTTTACACAGCTGAAAGCTTTGAGTGCTGATAAGTGCTGAGATCACATGTGGATACAATATATGGGGTCAGAATTGGCAGATTTACATTCCGCAATCAGCCAATTTATTTTAGCCGATCTATGTTGCAGTTTTATGATGTAAATATTAATGTTATTCTGGTATCTTCACTCGCTGCAGCATTGCGTTTGAGTGCTGCAGCTAAACCTATACCAAATATCATAGCATAATTATGCATGTCTCATTGTGCTAAATTGTATTACCTTTTGCTGTCAGTGTAGCACTAATTCTGCCTGATTCATGTTAAAATTGGTAACAGTTTTTTCTTTTCTTTTTTTTTAAATGTACAAATTTTGAATCCCATTTCGGCTCACTTCAATCATGTTCTTTATATTGTGACTAGATGGAAAGTGACTAAACAGAAAGTTCTACAAAGGTACTAGTATGTTTCATGTGCTCACACTCAGTGTGAACAAAGGGTAAAAAGGACTAATTAAAAACCTATCAGCCAGTTTGACATATTTGAGTATTTAAATTGAAATAGGCTGTAAAACATTTATAATCAGTGGATCTCTTGTTGGGTATGGCATTATTGCCACTTTAGCGCTTTTATCAGTTGCTTCTTCAGTTTGTTTGTTTTTGCAAAAAAGAAAACATGCTTATCTTTTTGTGTGTCCTCAAATGTTTGACAGTCAGAACTAAACGGTAAATGATTTTGAAGGAGTGTCAGAGAGGCACAGATAATGAAAGTGATTGTAGATATTAGTGTTAGGTAGTGGCAGTGTAAAGTAGGCCTCTGGTTTGCCCCAGTGAAGACCCAACAAATGATGGATTGAAATATTCATTTTTGTTCGTGCAATTTGCTGTATGCTATGTGTCTTAGCATGGTTCCATACACCTTTATTCTTCTTCCAGTGTTTATTCAGCTGGTAACGTTCTGGTAAGGCTGTATAAAGTAGTTGTTGCGAATGTAGCTTACAGAGGGATTGATTTTAGACTTACCCGTGTGAAAATACTGAGGGAAAACTGTTGAAATTTTGATAACACTACGCATGTTTTCTGTCTTACATGTGTGCCCACGTACGCACACACAATAGAGACACACTTAATGGTTCTCTTTGGTACAGGATGGCTCGGATTCTGAACCTTTTGAGGAGGAAATGCAGCGCTCAGATGGACTGAGTGATCTGGACCATGTGAGAGCCTTTTGAACCATGTGGTTCTGCTCTAGAACGCAAATCCGCTTTCCAGTTTTACTCCGCTCGCAGTAAAACCAGCAGTTTATGCTCAGGGCTTTAGTGTGCTTCTCTGCTTTCCCATAAGCCTCTGAGTTGTTGCCCCACATGGCACTGTGAGTTTGTTTGTATGTTAGCACATTGCTAGTGAGAGGTGTTTATGTTCTATAGGTCGCTGTGGTGCTGGTAATGATGCTGATCATCTTTAATGGATTCCATTTGTGTTTTGTCAGTCACTGGGCTGAGCACTGTAGTCATGAATTGCACTTTGCTTTTAGGAGCTGTATTTATTTCAGGCTTTGCCAGTATGGGCCCACATCGTCTGAACTGAGTTGCTTTTGCATGCAAGCTTTTTATTTTAAGTTGCTTTTTTAGGATTGATTGTGCTCCATGAACGCTACATTTGCTGTATAAATTCACTGAAGGCACTAAGCATAGTCACCCACTAGACACAGGGTGACCAAGACGGTTTGTCTTGTGATTTCAGTGCAGAGCTTTAGAAAAAGGAATTTTATTCCTTACATGATAGCAGTTTTTGCTGAATGAGGAAGCTGTACGAGCATGTGTGTGTGAAAGAGAGCATAAATGGTTTGAAAGAATCAGTGTGTTCCTCTGTTTTTGAGTGCATCTTGTGCTACTTACGGTTGAGTGCATTGTGGTTTTGAGGTTATTGGCTCTTCAAAGCATAGAAGAGTCATTTGTCATGAACACTGTGTGTGCGTACAACACTGTGTTTTTGTATGTGAATGTTTTTTTCACACATTTCTAAAGACAAAAATCTAGAGAAAAACAGGCAACATCGTCAAAATACCATTTGTTTATTTTGATTGAATGATATTTTACTCAAAGAATTTAAGTTTTCAGAAGATATATATGTAGACTTGAAATTAATTTCTTAATTTGCTTAGTTAAAGTAAGGCAACCTGTTTCCCAATGTTCCCAACAAAAGTAAACTGAATGTGTTACAGGTTACAGTGTAGGTTACATATAGATGGTTACGTATATTGCAAAAATATATGACTATCAGAATTATTATATGATCACCTGATCTCAATTATTTGAGCTCTTTGCTGTTATTTCTAGCTGACTGCAGTTAGTCTTCACAAGTGTTAGCTTTCACAGTCATATGTTTACGTGTTAACAAACAGAAGGTGAATTGGCTGCATTTTCATCTGTTAGAATGAGGCAAATGCATGTAAATAAAACAAAGTAGAAAGTACATTTTCTGAGACATATCATAGGTTCTTACATCTGACTGGTGCTGTAACATGTTTAGAGAGGTGAGCAATGTTTGCTTATTTGAGCTTGAGCTTTGCCTGTCATCAGTTGGAAGCTGTTGTCCCTCAACAGCTGGGAGGTGAGATAGCTAATCGCCCAATTTGGCCACTTTAGGCTGTAGCTTTAATAGTTGCATACAACAAACAAAAAAGACAAGTTGAATTGACAGATTTTTGATTATAGTTATTCATATGGCAATGAATTGTCAGATAAAATGAACATGACAGGCCTTAAATAGGACTTGTTATTAAATGTAGGTATTTATATCTACATTATTACAAATACAGTTCCCTCCACAATTATTGGCACCCTTACTAAAGATGAGTAAAAATGGTTATAAGAAATTCACCGTCTGGTGAATTAACTTGATCTCACCCTGAATAAATGGAAAAAATCCAATCTATATTTGAAGTAAATTTATTCTAAGATAAAGACTTGCATCATTAAATAATTATTTGTAACAAAACCACATGTGCCACTATTATTGGAACCCCTATATTTATATTTTACATTTAAGTTGATCAGTGCCTTTAAACTTTCCAGTAGTGATCCATGACTTCCTGTTTCACTGGGCTATATATATATGAGGTGACACGGAGGTCAAATTCCCTTAGTCATTCATCACCATGGGAAAGACAAGAAAGCATGCATTTCAAAAAAGGGAAAAATGTATTGACCTTCATAAGTCAGGGAATGACTATAAAAAAAAGCTACTCACCTGAAAATGCCCATATCTACAGTTAAGGAAGTAATTAATAAAATCCGCTCAACTAGCACTGTGACAAACTTGCCTGGAAGAGGACCCAAGTTTATTTTGCCCCCATGCACAATGAGGAGGATGGTAAAACCACCAAGGACCACTTTTGGAGAGTTACAGAAAAAAGTAGCAATTTGGGGTCACGAAGATTCCAAAACTGCCATCAGATGCCACCTCCATGCCAGTAAATTATTTGGAAGGCATGCCAAAAAAAGCCTCTCCTATCATCTAACCACAAACATAAGCACGTGGAGTTTGCTAAACACTACTGGGGCTTTGACTGGAATTGTCTTTGATGGTCGGATGAAACAAAAATTGAGCTTTTTGGCAACAGACACATAAGGGGAGTTTGGTGTATAAAGAAGGATGACTACACTGAAAAGAACCTGATGCCTACTGTTAAGTATGGTGGAAAGTCTGTAATGTTGTGGGGCTGTTTTTCGTCCAAAGGCCTTGGGATTCTCGCTAGTGTACTTGGCATCATGGACTCCATGAAATACCACAACATTTTAAATCAATAACTGTCTGTCTTTGCCAAGAAACTAAACATGGGCCACCATTGGATCTTCCAGCAGGACAATGACCCAAAACATATGTCCTGATCAACAGAAAAATGGTTTATTGAACGCAAAATCAAGCATCTGTCTTGGCCATCTCAGTCCCCTGATCTAAACCCCTTAGAAAACCTGTGGGGTGCATTAAAGAGGAGAGTGCACAAGAGAGGGCCCGGGACCCTGGACGATCTGGAGAGATTCTGCTAAGAGGAATTGTCTTAGATTCTCTGCTCGTTGTTCTCCAACCTTATAAGATGTTATAGGAGAAGACTAAGTGCTGTTTTTTCACAAAAGAGCGTTGTACAAAGTATTAAATTCAGGGTGCCAGTAATTGTTTGGTTTGTTAAAAATATTTATTTCTTGATAGATTTTTTTTTTTCCTTAGAATAAATTTACTTCAATTAAAGGTTGGATTTTTCTTATTTTGTCAGTGTGAGATTAAGCCACCAGAAGATTAATTATTTAGAACACTTTTTACTCATGTTTACCAGTGGTGCCAATAATTGTGGATGGGACTGTAGGTTGTCACATATACTCTATCCAGCTTAATATATATGACACTCCATCCTGACATGTCTGTTTACTAGTTTTTTATTCTTTTCCTCTCTGTCTCTGCCCCTTGCCTCCTTTTATCCTTACCTAACTGTATTTTCTTCCTCCATTCTTCTCTTTTGGCCTCAGATTGGAGGCGGATCTCATTTAAGTACCGCCTCCTCCCTTAAATCCTCTACGGTTTCTACGGCACATGCTGGTGACATCCATCTGACCACACCCATGTCCACGGCCACCTATGATGAAAGGGCACTACCCCCTTGGCACCAACCTCAGCCTGCTACAGTGGTCCAGAACTGGAAAGGCCCCTGTGAACCATCTGTAGGCCAGAGAGAGGAGCCCAGCCTGGCCACGGGGAAGAGAAAACTGCCCTCTCCAGAGAGTGTGAAACAGCCAGCCAGAGAGTGGGAGGAGCAAAGGGGGCACAGCAAGGCTGCTGTGACCTCTGAGCTTCAGGAGACAGATGGTCAACAGAGGTCAAAAACAGCAGTCTCAGGTAGGGTAACATGGAGTATGTGTTTGGATTCTTTATCTGAAGTGCCCTGACACTCCCTCCGGTTATAATTTATTCATTTTATACAACAATCTTGCTGGTTATTTAATGGGTCTTTTATTTTGTTGGCCTGTACGCTCCCTCCCTACTGATTGTTTAGCTGTTACTGATGAACATCCTATGCAGGGGTGTAAATGTCTGATCTTACAATAATTTGATTCACTTACGGTTGTTAGAAGTGATTTTGTGCATAATAAATTCATACATTTTACTGAGATTAAAATGAATAATTTTAAAATGATTCAGAAGAACTTTACTAAATACACAATGTGAATTCAGTTAATTTAAGGTGCATTGCTTATACAGGCAATGGGTTGCACACACACACACAGCTTGGACAATCTCCATAAAGTGGCATTGCCAGTAGAATTGCACACTCTAAAGTCACCATGCCTGATGTCGAGCGTCGAATAGAGGAGTATAAAGCCCCCAGCTTTGGGCTGTAGAGCAGTGGAACTGCATTCTGTGGTATGGTGGAGCGCCACCCATTTTTGTATGATGAGTTGGAGTGGTATTTGTGACTGAATCTACTAACCAATCATCTAACATCATTACTTGACCTTACTTAATGGTCTTGTGCGGTCAAATGTGCAGTAGATGTTCAAACATCTAGTGTAAAGTCTTCTCAGATAAGTTACTATGGCAAAGGGCAGAAAATCACACTGTAAACATGTAAGAAATATTGAAAGAATTGAACAGTTTCTGTTAACATTAAGTAAATGAAAATAAAAGAATACTCCAATTTACTAGCTCAAAAAGTCTAAAACAATAAAAAAACAAAACAATAAATAGGGCTTCCTTGTGTGCAAAGACGACAAACCAACTTCACAGTGATTGGTCTTAAGTCTATCCCCAGTCAGAATACAAGGTGCACTGTGATTGAAAGTGTCTGATGGTTACATCACTATAATCTAATAATGTAAAATTGTTATTTGAACTTTTTTTCAACTTTCCAAAGACGGACCAGTTCTATTTCTATATAAAAATCCAAAGAAATTGTTAGTTGTTTATTTTTCTTATACATGCATCATAAAAGTTAGCTTGTCATCAATCCAAATTCCTAAATATTCGTAGTTTGGAGATAAGTGCTTATGTTTTTATCTAATACTCATGCTTGACTGAACTCCATTAGTGTAACATTTGAAAATACACTTCCTGCTGTATCGGTCTGTGAGGCAGACTTGTGGTTGGGCAGATTTCCTCTGTTTAAATCTACATCGTGTGAGTGTGCCTGTGTTTCACTCACACATGCGGACTAGCACGTATTTTATGCAAATAAACTCTCACACTACTCAGTCTGGGTGAGAATCTCTCAGCAATGGTTTAGCAGCTGAGAAAAACTCACACCCCACCCTGTCCCTTTGCCTGCTGTCTAGTTGATGTCGGCCACTGGGGCCGTCCTAACAGCTTCCTCTGTGTGTTTGTCTGTGCTGTGTAACAGGTCTTCCTGAGCAGGCGGTTTCAGCGCGAGCTGCATCACAGCCCTCGTCCTCAAACTGGAGCAGTGCTCTTACACAGCACACGCACGCTCACACACACTCCGTGCAGTCCCCAGAGTCCAGCAGAACCGTCCCTGAGGACAGGGAGAGGAAACGAGAGAGGGAGAAAGACTTCCACACCGAAGAGGCAGACGAGCTTTCAGACGACATGTCAGCCCGGCAGATGTCCATCAAAGACAGGTGAGCTTGGCTGTGCATGTTTGTGATTGAATGTACACAATAGCAACAAATTGCCCTCTTCATTGATTTGTTCTTCAAATAACGTGAAAGGAGGAAAGAACAGTCTGATCTTCATAAGTTATATGAGTTTTTATTAACAATGCTAATAACACTCCTGCTTAAACTGGTACTGCTACTAACTCTGCTGCTACTACTGTTAATAATAATATAGTTTGGATGTATATCTGTGATATGCTTGCTACTAATTGGAGCGTCAAAATGTAAACTAATAAGATATGACAGAAAGCAGGCCCCTTGAAGCATTTCTATATAAGGCCGTGTCTCAGCTTCGCAACTGTTAATCAGTGTCAGAATGATTACCCGACTGTTTACAGGATGTCAAAGCTTCCAGGACATTGTGGTCTCAGGCAGTCTGTCAAAGTAAAGACAAATGTATAAAAGAGAGAGATGCTTGCATTTATGTAGGTTGACTATTATGTGTCTGTGGATATGTGGGACACGATCCACAGATGCCCAATTTGGGGCTCACTGGAGAACGCAGCACACATTTTGCTGTACTGTCAGAAAGAGAGAAAAGCATATAAATTTTATTTACTATGTGGAACGTTTCTTTTACATGATTTATCTATATGCTAGAGTCTTCATTTGAATGGCTAAGCTTTAATTATCATGGAGTGTCTGTGTATGTGAAAGAACCTGTTTGTAGAACTCTTTGTTTAAGGATTTAAACTCAGGGACATCCATAATGGTATATAGTGGGAAGTTGGCCAGTCACAGTTGTTACCTGATATCCTGATCACAATTTTTTTGCTCATCACAACTATTTAAGCTCATTATTTTAGCATATCACAGTCGTGTTTATGTTGCAGCAAACAGAATGTGAATCATAGCTCATGAAAACAACAGAAGTTCATATTTCTGACTGGTACTATAACATGGAAGGCAGCAGTAAGTAATGTTTGGAGCTTGAACTGTTTCTGTCTTCAGTTGGGAGCTACTAAGTATTGACAGGGAAACAAGGAAGCAAGATTTGGCCACCTCAGGCTTGCTCCTTAGTTGGACATGGCTCAATACTACTTTTTCTTTTACCGATTGTGATATCAGAACTTTGAGTGTTGCTGCCATACCAGTCTGATGTTTCTGCTAAGCTTTAAAGTGTAATTGAAGCACTTATCTTAAGATGAGCATCTAACAGTAGACTATCATACTCAAACTGCTTAAACACGCTACTGCCCCAGAGGGAGAAAAACACAGAAATCAGTCACATCATACAGTGCGGTCCCGCATTTTCTGCTGATGTCAGCCCAGTACTGATATACAGGTCAGTGCGATCTCTTAGTCAGTAGCTGCATAAAGTAAACAAAATTAGACAACTAAATTGTAAATCACAGTTATTCAGATTGTCAATTAAACATCAGCTAAAATTTCCATGATGGTGACAGGTAAAGGTGGGCAGTGTGACAATATTTTATTGTTATTGTGATAAATATTATTATCATGATACAGTGTCCTTTTTTTGAGCATATCAAAGATATCAGTATTTAAAGAACACTGACCAGCTGCGTATTTTATTAAAATAAGATCATAATTAGTCCTGTTTTACTGAGCTGTACAGTTTGTGAGATGTTGAATAAAAATTGTGAGTTTTTCTAGTTAGCATTGTGTCTATGAGTAAAAATGTGATATATATCGATGATTGTAGTATCATCGAGTAATGTAATATGATATTTTTGCCATATTGCCCACCTAGCGACAAGCATAGCGTGAAGACCCCATATATTTCTAAAAAAGTGGCTTTGCAGCTTGTCTGCGTAATTAAAAGAAAGGTGAAATAGGGGATCGCCACTGAGTGCAGTATCTGTATTGATGAGTTTGGACTGATGGAGATGTCCCACTTCTCTGATGCCTGATCAAAGTGTTGCATAACTTGTAGACGGTTATCTGCTGCCATCACAGATGTACTGGCATAAGCAAGTGGGCCTTTAAATTGATTGATGACATCATGCAATATAGAGAGTGCAGAGGTCAGCGTGGCTAATTTTGTTTCTGTGTGTAGGCGTAAGTGGAAAAAGGTGAGGTGAGGAAATGTTTCAGAGCATGGCTATAGCTTTTTTGGATATGTGTTTTTGAAACTTTTTTTGTTTTTTTAAGCCTCTACACGTTGGCATCACAGTGCTCCATTCAGCTAAACCACCCATACTGGGCTGTCTATCAAACCGTTCTTCTCTTGCTCTTTGTACTGCTCGGCTTCAGGTGTGCTTTTCAAAAATAGGTGTCAGCTGAAAGCCCATGGTGTCTAACTTATTGTGTTTGTTTTGGACTTTTGGGTTTTGGTCTTATATATATATATAATATATATATAATATATAGTATATATATATATATATATATATATATATGTATATTATGTGTGTGTGTGTGTGTGTGTGTGTGGTGTGTGTGTGTGTGTGTGTGTGTGTGTGTCTGTGTGTCACCAGACTGGCTCTGCTGAAGAAGAGCGGTGAAGAAGACTGGAGGAACAGGATCAATAAGAAGCAGGACCTAGTGAAAGTGGCCATTTCAGAGAAACATGCTCAGCTATGGGAGGTGGAGCAGACCTTCAAAAAGAAGGTAACCCCTGAACCTGAACTTTAAACCACAATCTAATGCAACAATCAGAGCTCATAACATTCAAACTCATATTCCGGCTACATCTAAATCACCCTGAAGTTGATTTTATTTTTTTATTTTTTCAGAGATTTAAAACAAAACTTAAATTCCACCAAATATAAGTTTACGTCTGAGCAAACTGAAACTAGGAAGCACTAAACTGTGGTTGTTTTGTCAGTCAGGAATATCTCTAAACAGAGAGATGTGTTGTTCTCTTGGCTTTCTTTTTCCTTTTTCTGCTTGTTTGATTCTGTCTGTCTGCATGTTCTTATGCATCTCTGGCTGGGTAAAGTGGTCTATAGTTATAATGAAGTGGGATTACTGTTTATGTTCTAAAATACACAAACATTGCAGTCTTTTTATTTTTTTTAATTTGTGGTTAGACATTACACTAATACTGTAAGTGCATGTCTGTGTCAAGCTACTTACATTTTTCCATATTATTATGTATTTATCTATGTAATGAACATTTTCATTGTGATAAATACATATCTTTATTTGGTTTTATCAATATCTGTATCTCTACTGGTAGTCTATCAGCTATTTTAGTAATTCGTAAGTGTATCTAAGGCTTGAACAGTGCAATAATGCCTGTCAGTCTTAACAAAGCTTTCTGAGATTATCATCTTTAGCGTTGTTGTAAATGTGTTTTGATATCATGCAAAACACTATAGAGAGTTCAGTGCATAGACAGTTGAATGTTGACCTTTTTTCTACTTACACAGTAACAAAGATGACTGAGTTACAAGTTTACTTGTTACATTTGTTCCTCTTTATACAAGTTAAGGTGCGTTGGAGCTTGTTAGTTCATTTTGACCAGTAAATGTTTAGCTTTGTTTTTTTTTGTTTTGTTATTTATTTTATTTATTTATTTATTTATTTATTTATTTATTTACATAGCAGAACTATAATACTAACATATCATGCTGTGATGCTAACTTATGTAGGAGTTATCTGATAGTTTTAACTTGCATGTATGCACATAGCTCAACTTGCTGACTGTCTTCTCTTTTCCTGCATGTTTTCTTGTCTTGTTTTGATCTAATGAATCTCTCTTGGCATGTTTTTGGGTTAGTAATTCCGTAGTCTTTTTTTATTTATTTGTTTGTTTTTGTTTATTTTCTTAATCTTTCTCTAATTTGAGCATTCTATAGTTTTGAGTAGTGTAATTAAAAGTTGGAATGAGGACTCGCATGTACCTCTCTGTTTGGAATTATTCATAAGGCTGCAATAAACTGATTTTTGCTTCACTGGTAACTCAAAAAGAAGTGGTTTTGAATTTCTTTTTCTTGTTGTTTTTTTATATTTTTTGGTTTTGGGGCCTGCCTGTTTTCTCAAATGTAATGTAGTTTGTTTAGCCCATATGGAAAGATATCCTGATCTTATTATGTGATTTCTAGATCACATGACATAGTTAGCGTTTGCCTTTCCATGAGTTTCTTGAGTTGTTCTACATGTATTGTTTAAAGAAATGAAAGATTATAGCAGGTTGGATAAGTAACAGCTCTGGGGAAAGTGCTTAAAACAAAATTAATTTAGCCATCCAACGCAGAATGAAAGTAAAGCAGAGCTTTTTAAGCATTATATAGTCAAAATCACATAGTCATTGTTACTGAAAGATAAGACAATACTGCATGGATGTAGTTAAAGAAAGTTAGGAAAAGTACAATAATACTTCACATTAGAAGATGCAATAGGTTGTATGTGGGAACATAAGAAAAGCAAAAACGGTCTGAGGGATTCATTTTAGTTTAGATGTTCTCAGGGAGATTTTTTTTTCCTTGTTCATTTTACCCCCCCTTTTCTAGGGCAATGGAATGATAGATGAATTTGCAGTTTCTGACCAGCTCTGGGTAAGACTGTTCACTGATAGCTCCTGAGTTTCAATACTGTTGGTGGTGTAATGTGGAGATTGTATGGTGTCTGTGTTTGTGTTGAACTCACTCGTGGTGATGGTGTGCTGTGCGCTGTTATGGTGACTCGTGACAACCCCTGTGCTTGTGGTGGTGGACTTGCTAGTTCCTCTCACTTTGCTACCATGATAACAATGCAGTGTAACATTTTGGCTGATGACCTAAGCAGAAGTGGTGTGCTGCTCTTCCTTTACCTTTTGGATGCTCATCATAGAGGCTTGTAATGTTCTCAAAGTTAATTTTGTGTGTCGGTCTTGTATTTTGCCCTTTCTGTCATGGGTGGTTATTTTGATCTTATTTCCATGTTGTTATTATTATATTGAAATTGATGCCATGGGAGGTTACGTGGTTCTTGGTTGTATGTGGTGTGCCCGACCGATATGAAATTTTGTGACTGTTGCTGATTTTATAGAGCTAAAAATTCTTATAATATCATGTGGTTTAATTTAATGTGGTGAAAATTTAAACTGACTCCAATAGTTTTAGAAAATAGTGCTTTACTGTGTAACTTGACTTTTCTGATGAGTGTGGTTGTCCATTGTCAACTGTGATTTGGCAAATATGATTCAGTTCTCAATTGTCACTTTTTGTAACACGGACACCAGAAACTCACAAGGTGTTTTAGATTAGAAATATTGTTCACATAATTTTTAGTGATTTTGTTCGTTTCTGTCAATTAGCTCTTAGTTTTCTTTCTTTTTTTTGTTGTTGTTCATCCCATCTCTTCAATAATGTTATCCTCTTGAAGGTTAGGTTTTGATAGATTTTTACCTTTTTTAGTCTTTTTAACCATGTAGTGTTTGTCTGTTCAAATTTACCAAATCAGCCTGTATTGCTATAACTGAAGTGTTGGCATTGATTACCATCTTACAAGTCTTTACAAAGACTAGCATGTAAGCATGAAACCATCTTCATAGGTGAACAGTTTTCCTCACATCAGAAGTGCTTGCTCGTTACAGGATGAAAGAAGTCACTGAATATCTAGGCTTTGTTGGTGAGAGTTTCATCTATACTAGTAAATCTGTGGGACCTTAATATCAGTCCATTCTATCGGTCGGGCCATACTTGTAAGTTGTATCAGTTTCTCAGACTCAGACTGATCTTAGTTTAATTTAAAGCCGATTTAAAAAAAAAACTACAAAAAACTTTTTTTGTTAAAAATAGAAGAAATAGGGGCGGCAAAGGACAGCAAGAAGGGTCTGGATTCGATTTCCCAGCTGGGCGGCCAGGGTCATTTCTGTGTGCAGTTTGCATGTTCTCCCCGTGTCTGCATGGGTTTCATCCGGGTGCTCTGATTTCCTCCCACAGTCCAAAGACATGCAGTCAAGCCAATTGGACTCGCTAGATTGCCCCTAGGTATGTGTGGATGTATATGTCTGTGTGTCTGTGATGGACTAGGGTGCTTCCTGTCCAATGACCGCTGAGATAGGCTCCAGCACCCCCATGACGGCACCCCCCAGAAGGATAAGCGGCTTAGTGTGTGTGTGTATGTGTGTGTGTGTGAGAAATATATAGTGTCTGGGCACTGCTGTAAGTCAGCCAGTAAAGCCTTAAATAATAGCCTTGTATTAACATCCCACGCACATAGTCAAAAGAAGGTCTGGCTCGATGTTTAGGTCTCAAGTGCAAAATCAGTCTTATACTGTTATGATGACAATAGTAGATAATTCACTTACATACTCAAAAGTCACATCCTTCACAGAGTTTTGACTTTCTCTTACTTAATACTCAACAAGCTCACATTCGTCAGATTCATCTGCTTGTGGGGGTCCGAAGCAGCTGACGTTACAAAATGTTACTTCCGCACATTGCATGCAATTACACATTTCCACCTGGAAGTTTTCCAAATTCCCAAGACTTACATAGTGCAGCTTTAAATTTTTTAGGACAAAATTATACATTAGACAAAGTCTGGGTCTTAGAAACCGGCCTTATGTTTGCCTTGTTCAGGTCAATATCACTGCTCGTCCCCTTATAAACACACAGTATTTTTATCAAAACTGTCTACTGCTTTCCCTGCTCATTCCATTCCTCTGTCTTTCCACTTGCATCTTTCCATCTTCTTGTTTGTCTCGCCTCCTCCACATCTTCCTGCCTATAGGAACCTGTCTTTTCTTCCACTTTTTCCTGTGCCTCTGAGCCTCTGGATCACATCGAGCCCCCTCCCCAGGTGAGAGAGAGAGAGAGAGAATAATGTCTAGCTCAGCTGGGCAGAGAAGCTCTCATTAAATCCCCCATATTAACTATGATGATCTGAGTTTATTCAAGCTTGTCTAGCTTTCCTTGGTTTGTGCCAGCCTTACACGCAATGACTGGACACATGTATATGCACTGCAAAACACACCCCAGTTGCTTCCTCCCTCTCGCTAAACCCCACTAATAAACACCTTTCTGTTTCCTTCCTGCTTTTTAAATTGTGTGCTATGGTGTTGTGGTGCCTGCTTTACTTTTTAACAAAGCTGTAGTCTTGATGAATCACTCTGTCTCAGATGTGCTTTCTCTCTGTTGAACTTTGACATGCAATCTACACAGCTCATACTCTTCACAAAGGCCTTGTCCTCATCTAATTGCATGTTGCAAACCGAAGGAATAGCTTGATATAGTTCTGTGATGGTGATGACCTTGTCATTTTCAGACCTTTTAATACTTAACACCCTTAACAAGCCAGTTTTATTACACACTTCTATAAATTAAGAATAGCTATGTACAGTTTGAATTAAAATCCCTGTAGTTACTGAATAATAAGCCTTTGTATGAAATAAACCTGGAATGTTAAGGGGTTAATGCCTCTGGAAGAACACTTTACTTAAACTTTCACCAGAAGAGTTACCACAGAATCTTTTGTTTTTCAATACAAAAATACAGAATGCGTACACATGACTGCAGAGGCGAACCCTCAGGGCTTTCTGATGATTTCTGGGAACTAAAAACGTTGAAAAAAAAACCTCTGCAAGTACAGTACTACTCCTATTTCATTGTTAAGTTTTGGTTGGACACTAAACGGTTAAATTCTTGTAATGCTCAATGGGAAGTTGTCCAGTCAGAATTTTATTTTTTTTTATTTTTGAGTTGTGTCCAGGTTATTACAGCAAAGAGAACTGTACCAGTGATTAGGACTTTAGAATCTGAACTGAAAGCCTAGCGTATCGGATTAACCGCCAACATAATAAGCACCCAACAGTAGAATCAACCACTCATGTTTTGATCTACAATGGGCAGGAACAGTTTTGTCCCAGATGCATTCTAGATACATCCTGGATACGTCACTGACACCGAACATGAGCGGTAGTCTAACAAGGGTTTCTGTCAGAAATGGAAAACAGGGGATGCTCTGTGCCAGGGCTTTCTACTGAAAGTAACTTTAAATCTACTACACAAGAGGTAAAATACATTCTAATATGGCTTCCAATAAAACATGGAATGTGTTTTACAAGCTTCAGTGTCAGTGTTTAATGTAGAACAGCCCAAAAAAAATTTATGTACATTGCCAGTAACTTAGCACTAACATGCCACTAGAATCCCAGAAATTTCCTAGAAATGTTTTGATGGAGTTTTGACCTTTATGGCCTGAACTGAAGTCCTAGCTGTGTAATAGCCACTGCCTGACATCAGTGTGTAGGTGTTATGATATATAATGGATACTATATTTGCTTTCTGTTACTTCATGCTAAGGCAATTGGACACTTATGATGCTGTCAAGTTGACATTCTGTAGCCTCAACAAGTTCCTGGTGAGAGTTTAAATAGTGTCATGGCATTGGCTTGCCTTTGCTATCTTTAGGAACCTCTCTGGTTTAGGCTGCATCCTTTCATCTGTCATCTTCTCTTTGCATTCTTTCCTCACCCCTATCTTTTCCTATCCCCTCCCCCTTCCCTTCCACTAAGGCCAAACCCCTGCCCGTGCAGGCGGATGAACGTCATCCCTGGAGACGCAAGGTGCCCCATAACATCCCCCAGCAGATACATGTACATGTGCACACCATAGGCATTGAAATTAAACATGGTTTTGTGTTTTTGCACTTCTTCAAACTAGAAAGACACAACACAAGTTCATCTGCCATGTGTATTGTTTTTGTTGAGTATTATATGTGGGTGTTGATATTGCTCTCTTGAATCAGTCATTTGCTACTTCTACGTGTGTGAACCCAGTCATTTTTGTGAATGTATTTAATCCGTAGACTGATTGAAATCTTTTAGTTTTAAATGAATGATCCAGATGTAGTTGAACAGCCTAGACATTGTTTGATGTCAGAATTTTGCTGCTTCTTTAGTTTACGCTTCTTACAAACGCTAAATGTCAATAGTCACTCAAATCTTTTCCATAAGCACATCTCCACAACTTTCAACCCATTGAAACAGCATCCACACTTCCATTAAGGTTGCACAGACTTGTCAATGTGGTTTAGGGTGCAGGGTGACTTACTGTGAATTATGACAATGAACAAAACTTCACAGTTTAGCTGAACCCTACGGTCAGCCACCATTGTCTATAAAGGCTGACGCAGTTCTCCTGCCCCCACACCTCATGCACAAATGTCACACAGGCATATGGACTACAGATTACATTCAAAATTCTTGTTGTTTCCTTGTATAAATAACCGTTCATCTTTATTTTTGTATGTGAAGGGGAGTCAGATTATACAGGAATGTGGAAATTCAGCATAGCAATGTTAACCTTGTAGCTAAACTAAAGAACCATAACTTGTACACCAAACATGTCTTAGCTGGCCAACTGTATCTGAGCTAAGTAAAAATTGTGAAAATCTGATTTTGTACCAAAACTATTCCTTGAAAATTGCGGATGATTGAGGTCAGAGAGGACTGAAATGTACAGTTTGTACCACCCTGTACTCAGAACATGCTGTGGGTCTGAGAAATTGTCAAGAAGACAAGTGGTTTTATTTGAAATTGCTTTATTCATAGATTCCTATAAATTGTAACAAGTAATTGTAGAGAACTTTTTTTCCAACAAAAATAAAAAAAAAAATCATCAAAGTACTGAAAATGTGATGGTAATTATCTGTATGTTGAATTTGTTTTTGCCATCTGTCTTCCAGAGAATGGGAGACGAGGTGGAGGAAAGTCACCGGGTCGAGCGCATCGAGATGTCCATCCAGGAGCGCAAACAGCTCATCACAGCCCGAGAAGATGCTTGGAAGGTCAGAGGTCTCGGAGCAGCCAACGACTCCACCCAGTTCACCGTGGCTGGTCGGATGGTCAAGAAAGGTCAGTAAATACGTTTGGATGCCTGCAATAGCCTGATTAAGTTCTTAATTATTCTGAGAAACTGGACCAAACTAAGATGTTTACAAGAGCTGTATAGAAGATTTATAGTTCAGTTTACATGCACACCAGTGTACCCTGACTTTACAACGTAAAACACCCCCTACGTGACTTATCTTAGTTTATCCACAGATGAGTTTCCAACCGTTTAAAAATATCAGCGTTCTTTTTTTCACTTTAGATTTAAACATCTAACAATGTCCATTTCTGACAATGTCCATTTCTGGCAGCCCTTTTGCCTTTTGAGGCTGACCACAGAAAAAGCTTTGAAATATCGCAGAACGCTATGTGAGAGTCAGCGAAGTTTTCTAAACGTTTATGTGTTCATTTCTATTTTGAATGGTCCAGCCAATATTGGCCTAAACCGCATGTTTTAATCAGACTAAGCGTGTGACAGTCAAAATGTCATAGCTTAGTTAGACTAACAGTCTTAGGCTGTTTTACACTTCCTTGGCTCGCTGCAGTCCACACCAGAGTGAGAGTTTGTGTGAGATTATATCTTTTTCTTTTGGTTTGGTTGGTTTCACAGTTTTAGCAGCTGAAGTGCAGAAAATAATTTTGGTATAGAGACCAAAATTTTTATTTATTTATTTTTTTTTGACATTTGCCTGCTTAATTTGCTATTATTTAATTTTTGAAGCTACACTATGTAAGTGTACACTTTGTTAAAATTAAAAAAGGTAGAATTACAGAGTTTTTCAGACCATGTCAAATGTATTAATTTTAGGCGTCATATGCACAATCAACATTACAACTGATGAAGATATGATCACAGTAGTAGATGATTCACTTACATCCTTGGACGACATGCCAAATGCTTCACTGTTCTGCATCTGCTATTATCAGCAGCAGCTTGTAATACACAAACAATACTTGAGTGCCTGTGCAGAGTTACCCAGTGTTAAGTGTTAAACAGGTTTGGTTTGATTTGTCCACACCAGACAGGGTACATGTGAAAGCACTCTTTGTCAGGCTAAGAGTTCCCAAAAATATTTCTACTTTATTTATTTAATTATTTCCCAAAATCAGAAGTATTAGTCATTGTAAATGTTAAATCACATTTGCTGTCCTGTATGTGGTACTGAGTAGTTGCCACGTGTGAAGGATTAGTGTCAGCGCCAAGCAAGAGGAAATGCTGTGGTATATGACTACATGGAATTTCACTAAAGTGTAGGGCTTATAGTGAAGGAGTCTCAGTGAATAGCTGAATAAGTTTGGACTGGCTGCGTTTCAGGTCTGGCAGCCCCCACTGTGCTGACAAATACCACACTGACTCCTACATCCTCAAAAAATAAGAACACCATCAGCAAACCTCAAGAAGGTAAGAGACTACACATGCATCCCACACAGCCACTTTTTAGACTGTGGCAAAATGTTCATCTGTTAATTCAAACAAGTTATGATGTGGTTTCTTTTTTTTTTTCTTTTGAAAAGAATCAGAGGACAATGGAGGTTTACAAGAAGTTGTTTAATGTAGTGTTGTGATGTCGTGCTGTATATTGTGTGTGTATAGTGTGCTTATTGTGTATAGTGTTTATGTGCATTCTGCACATGTGGCTTTTGTAAGAAGCTGTTGAGTATTGATCACCATGAAGTAATTGGCTGAATACAGCAAAGCACATCTAGTGTAAGCCATCATCCCTGGGTGTTTATGGTTGTTACTAGATGTTGTTCATAACAATAATACTTCATTCACTCAGTTAAGCATGTTCAACAGCTTCTTTCACAGCAGTACCCTAACTGGTGAGATAAATGTACTGTGACCTAAATAAGGCAGACTGTTCTTTTTAATTTGTTCTTGAAGGGGAATTCCACCAATTTCTGCATAATTCAGTTGCTGAGATGTAAACACAGTCATTAAGAGTGGTTTGATGTAGAACGGTTCATAGTAGAAAAACTTAGCAACTTCGATTTCTGTACAGTTGTGATGAGAGGAATAAGGGGTTGTGATGTCTACAACATAAATGTAGCCAAATTATTTACTAACTAAAACATTCACTCAATCTACATGTCTCCTATTTTTTTTTATGTGATGTTGATAAATGTTGGTAAATCTGGGAAAAAATCGTTGGGTGCCATTTTCCTTTTCAACAGCTTGTGTGTGCCTCTCTACCGTGAATAAATGGGGAACAAAATACTTTTTAGGCCAAAATCTTATTTCAAAACTATCATAAAGCAGTGTTTCAAGCATCGGGCAGCTTATTCATGAACTTTTCATGCACTAACCTTCTGTAAGGGAGCTGTTCGAAGCATTTCACTCTTGTTCATAGTTCATGAGCAATGCTGACTTAGTAAAGTTCTCTAAAAAGGAGCATTTCACTTTGAACTACTCTGAATAGCTTTGTTTCTTAACAAGATCTCATTGACTGACATGGATAAATTCTGAAAAATTGGTGGAATTCCCCTTTTATGATAAAAGATGGATATTGAATGCTGATTTGGCACTAATTTGTGATTTTCATATTCCATTCCATCATAATGATATTTTTGTGTCCTGTGCTTCTGCAGAGATTGAGGTCAGACAGGACATGAAAGTTGAGTCAGACCGAAAGCTGGACAAACTGGAGTCCTTTCTGGGTCGACTCAACAGTAAAGGTGAGCATGCTCAGGTTTTTATAAGAGCTGTGAAGATCTAGCCTAAAGAAAGCTAAACACTGAAAGCTGTACTCTTTTTATTCTTTTCCTAAATTCTTGGGTCATTCTTCTTCTTGGTGATTTAGTGGACAGTCTTCAGGAGACCACACTTACAGTCACAGAGAAGAAGGTGAAAGAGGTCATGACCCTGGATGATGAGTGCTTTGATAGGTTCTACAGGCACACTGAGGAGCTTGCCAACGTCACCAGCAAAGTGGAGATCAGTGATGACTTCGATGCCATCTTTGGACCTCAGATGCCCAAGTAAGGCCAGGCTTAAATTATTTCATTGAAGTATTTTGAAAGTTAGGCAGCTGTTACCTCAGGATCACAGGCTTTAGATGCGTCTTTACACTTTGGCTCCGCACATTCACATTGAAGGTATAGAGTTTGTTTCAGGCTGCTTTTTGAATGAGGCACATTACAACATAGCCATTCAGAACTCACTTACATATATTAGTTTTAAAGACATGGTAACAAAAATATCCGGTGTAAATCTAAGGAATAAAAAGAGGTTATAAAATGTTCAAATATTAATCTATTGTGACTTTTTCAGTACATAAACCCACACAAATCATAAATGGCCATCAGGCAAAAAAATAACATTCACAGAAAATGTAAATTTCAAAAGTCAGACCCTTTTTGATCCAGACCCTGTAGGTTAGGCATGTTTTCCTAGAATCAGAATTTCTTTATTTTTTTGTCCTAAAATGTCCAAAAAACAAACATGCACGTAAAAGTTATGAAGGTGTAATAGTATGGTATGTTAGTTATCTAGGGTGTTATTATCATAAATAATGTATTATAGATACAATATTTTGATTTATTTGAATAATATTTATTATAGATATAGAACAATCTTTAGCTGTAAGATCTGTTTTTATTGCAACCAAGATGGCTTGTTTATGCTGTCATGAACTACACAAGTAGAGGTTTTACGTATCCTGACCCTTGAACTGATTTTTTTTTTTCAGACTGGCCTCAGACATGGTGCAGCACAAGCGGGCGGTTCGTCCAGCCCGGAATGTGCAGTCATCCAGGAACCCTCTGAAGATGCTAGCCTCACGAGAGGACATTAGACACGAATACACAGAGCAGAGACTCAACATTGGAGTGCTGGAGAGCAAGAGGATGAAACAGGAAAAGAGTGAGCTCAAAAATGGCGACTGTGTTAATGGCTCACTGGGTCAGGCTGTTGATAGTGGCCCTGTGTGGTGGAATGTCTAAACATATAGTCACAAGCCATTGGTAGCTGGGCATCAAGAGAGAACATTCAGTCTGGTAGGAAGGGACAGCAAGAACAACAGCCAGTTGAAAAAGCAGATGAAAGACGGTTATGTCTGTTGTCATGGTACCCTGCAACACTGTGGTTTTTCACTGAAATCTTCTCAGCATATAAAAAAAACTGAGTTATAGAACAGAATTCTTCCTTTCCAGATTCCCAGTCCCAGATTTGTAATGTTGAATTAAACTACTATATGTTATCCATAAACTGTATCTTGATAGCCTACATTACCAGACAATACAGGTTTCCTGTGTTACTTGTGTTTACACAGCTCTCTGTGTCTGTCTGTCTGTCTGTCTGTCTCAGTGGGTAAGAGCAGTGGTTTCTCTGCAGTGGCTCTGGCAGGCTTGGCGAGTAAGGAGAATTTCAGCAATGTAAGTCTGCGCAGTGTCAAAATCACTGAGCAGAGCTCCCACAGCAGTGCAGTGCCCTACAAGAGCACCATGCTCATGCAGGTCAAAGGTCAGTGACTCAACAAGCCACTAAATTATGCATACATGTACACATGGGTATATGTACAGATTTGAGTGTCTTTTTTCTAAATGAAAAAAAAAGTTAACACATCTTGTTCTGCACATTTTGATGCACAGTTACTGTTTATTTAGTAAATAGAACATATTGCATGCCTGCATTTTTCTCCCTACTTAAGCACATGTGGTATTGATGGAGAGTTTGGAGTCCACACTTTTGACTTTGCAATTCTCTTGTTGCTTTGATATCTTCATTTAAGACCACTGTCGGTTGTTCTGTGCCTGTCTAGAAAATAAAGGATGCTTGGCATCTGTCTAACAGTTATTCTCCTGCAGAGATTAATGACTTCACGCTAGACTTATAGAGATTAGAAATAAAAGTTTGGATGACCTTGTTTGGTCATCTACTGTACTAGAGCATCTGATAAGAGTTATAAGCTCAGATGACCGTCACATGTAAAGTATTGAGTAATTCAGGTTTCCATTTTGTGTGTGTACATATTAGGAACTTGGCACTGTCCTCATGTTGAAAGGTTTAGTGTGTCGGTACGTTTACTTTACCAAGCACAGCGGGGACAAGCTGCTTTGTTATGGGTGCTGTTAATGTAAGTGGATTTATGGTGGTGGTGAAAGGTCAGTCCTCATAAGGCGTGTGCGTATGTGTTGCGTGCATATTTGCCTCTGTCTCTCTGTCTGTCTATCATCTGTGAGATGCTGTCTATGATGATGTTATTCTCTTGTTCATTTAGAGAAAGAATGAAAATGGAAAACACACTGAACAATGTTTTGTTAACTAGGTCGGCGGCATGTCCAGACCAGGCTAGTTGAGCCCAGAGCATCCTCTTTAAACAGTGGCGATTGCTTCCTGCTGGTCACACCAAACCACTGCTTCATCTGGATAGGAGAGTTTGGAAATGTTATTGAGAAGGCTAAGGTGAGTGTTTTCTGACACACGCAAATCACATAACAATCAACATAGAGGAGAACGGAGTTGGTTGGCACAGTGTTAACTTCCAGGTCAGTAGTTTCACTGATTAAATACATTGTAGAAATGTTTTAAAGAAAGATATTAAAAGGTTTTTTTTTAAATATATTCATTTTAGTTGGTAGAAATGGCTATATTTTTAAATGTGATTTGAAAGCCAATTATAAGTTAATTATAAGCTAATTTGAAGTAAAAGTCCTGATGTGGGTGGGGCTGATCGGCAAATTGATTTTTGGGTTGGTGTCATTGATGGGGTTTTTGGAGTTGGTGTCAGCCTACCCAAGTGTAGTGCTGTTGTCACAAACCTGTTATTTTATATAACATGTCAGACATACTAACTAGCACACTAAAGAACTAAAAACAGCACTGCACTATCACTGTTTGTATTAAAGTTATATTAAATTTGTTGTTTACTTCAAAGCTGTAGGCCGTTTGATGATAAGTGGGTCAATCACAAGATGAACTATGTGAAATGTAACCAGAGGACCTCTCACTTTTCTTGAGTAATATTTTATGATTGGTATCTCTACTTTCACTCAAGTACTGGAGCTTTATACTTTGTTTACCACATGACAATGAAAAAATAAGAGAAACATTCTTAACATATAATTAATTCAAAAGTGATTGAATATTAATATTTGTGGTTTGGTTTAAAGTAAAGCTCTGATTATTTCTATTTGTTCTTTTTAAAAAAAAACATTTTAATGTTATGCCAACCATCCCGATAGCAACCCACTCTATTAATTAATTTAGTCATGGATGCACTAATTTCAGGAAACATTTTCAGACATTGAAAGTCTCTAACATGTTCAGCTTTCATTTGCTGCTGAGTGGCTTATTCTGATGTATGGTATGCCTGGGGTATCAGCAGGGAGTGAAAACTGTGCCCACCAGCCCCGCTCTCCCCTACATATATTGATACCAATATTTATAAATACTAAAACACTTTAAACAAAGAAAAATGTTTACACACCACAAGAACAATATATTAAAATCAAGAAGCCATCATTGATAAAAACAAATTGGGCAGCAGAATCCCCAAATGTTTACATGTGCAGTTTTAAATTAAAACATATCAATCCCATAATACTAAAAACAATGTTTAATAAAGCAGGGAATTCATTTTTATTTTATACAGATGTTGTAATGCAATGCAGTGAAATGAGTTGAAGTCTCTGAGCAGTACAGTCAGCAGCATACCAGTAAAAAGTTACAAAACAGACAGTATCACTTGCTGCATCTTTTAAATGGCTTGTATTTGTGTTTGTGGTTGACATACCACCACGTGCAGGATGTCAGCAAAATTAACCACAGTGCTGTTTTGACGTCAAATACCGGAAACAGGAAGTCAGTTGTAAAAGACAGGAAACATGTCAAGAAGTGAACATCTGTCATATAGCCTAAAAAAGCTGTTGTTTAACACCAGGGAGGTCATTGAACCTTGTTTGGAGATGAATTTGACCTACATTTGAGCACTAATGTGAGATAGAAGCTCCCATGATACTGTTCAGCGACTTCACTGCTGTCTTTTTTGATCTTAGTCCAGATAACATAGTTTGATAGTGGTAACTTGTGCAGTGCAGCTGGTGTAGTAACATTTGTTTTGGAGAGTGTTAGACATACACATGGTTAGTAGGCCATGTGTGCTCAGGGAAAAATGATGAAACGATTAAACGCCTCATTTACTTTTTGGAAGATATTCTTTCTTGGATCTCTAGCCTTCCCTTATCTCTGTTCTTGCAAATGGCTTTACTCATTCTTGGCCGGCTTTAATGCGCTCGACACTGTCTCCTCCTTACTACAGGCCGCAGAGTTGGCAACCTTCATACAGACCAAGCATGACCTGGGCTGTAGAGCCTCATATGTGCAGACCATAGAGGAGGGTATCAACACACACAGCCACGCAGCCAAGGAATTTTGGAAGATCTTGGGAGGGCAAGCAAGCTACCAAGGCAAACCTTCTTATTATTACCTTCTGTCATGACCTTGTCTTTAGCTGTAGCCCTTTAACTTTTAAAGGGGAATACCACTGATTTTTTTTCGGTCTTTCTGCATATTTCAGTTGTTCAGATGTAAATAAAGTCAAGTGAAACGTAAAATGGTTCATTGTAGTGAAACTCTAATTTCTTTACAGTTATGATTGGAACCAGGTGTTGCACTGTTTATAATGCCAGTATAGTAATTGATTTACTATTCAAAAATGACCAGTGAACCTATGTGTGTCTTCCAAGTTTTTATGTATAATGATAATGGTAAATAGTTGGAGTGGTACATTTTGAAAGAAATGTGTCACTTTGCCATTAATGGATTTAAAAAAATATATCTCAAAACTGTAATAACACAATGTCTCCGGCATCAGGCAACGTACTCATAAACATTTCATGTAATAACTTTCTGTGAGGTAGCTTTTAGAGGCATTAAACACTTTAGATGTACATTTCCTGTCACCAACTTGTTTGTATACAAGTCTACCTTGACACTTAAATCTAGCACACATTTATCTAGAGACTGTCATAATGATGTATTTACAATAACAAAAATTATCAATATATAACAAATTTAATTTTCTTACACTTATCTGGGAAAAAATGTCAAGATGGGGTGGGGGTTAGAAGGTCAGTAAAAACATGAGCTGTGTGTTTAATTATTAAGATGTAGGATCTCAACTTCTAAAGCCCATGCTTTTACCTCTGCTATGCCTTATCAGGATGTGGTTGGTAAATGCTGATCTGAGAGCAGTGATTAATATGTAACAAGTGTTCTCTGTATGCCACAGCTGCAGGGACTCCAGAGGAGGATGAGTTCTATGAGACTGCCATAGTGGAGACAAACTGTGTCTACAGGCTGCAGGAAGACAAGCTGGTGCCTGATGATGACTACTGGGGCAGAGTGCCCCGCTGCTCCATGCTCAGCCCCACAGAGGTCAGACCACACTGATTATACTACTGTTGAGATGTTTGGGTTATTATGTCATAAAAATAATTTTTGTTATTTTATATACAATAACAGCTTAAACAGTGCAAATCAACATGTCATTTTCATTTATTTTTATTTCAGTAGTTGGGATCAACAAGAAATGAGAGAGTACATAATAGATTGTAAATCTATTTAACGTAATTTGTCAGCGTGTTTGCTTCGAGACTTGATCACCAACTTCATTTTTGATGTTAAACAGTTTCCTGAGTCACTTCTGACACTCTGTTCGTCATTATAGACACATCTAATTTTACAGCTTGCCAGCTTCCTACTAAAAGATTGAAACATGAAGTTGCACAGGATAACATATTAGTGTATTACTCTTTTGGTAATGCTTTACCTGCAGTCTGCTACATAATATTGTCATATATTGCAAGCATGTCATTGAAGATGTCATTTGCTGTCATGAGTTGTCATGGTAGATTTTGTTCCGTAATAGTGTAATGTTTCCATTTACGATAATTATCATGACAGATGCTATAATGTTTGATATAGTGGTTGTTACATGTCAATTTTTGCTTTAGTGTATAAGTGTACTCTGGTTAGCTGTTATGACATCAAACATTATGACACATGTTGTAGTGGTTACCGGTAATGATACAATGATACTGTTTTATTGCTTTATCGTGACCACTCATGTTGTCAAATGAAATCTGATGTCTTGTTTATGGCATGATTATGACATTGTTAAGCATCAGGGTTCAAGTAAAGTGTTACCAATCATTTTGCAAGTTTGTCCGGTTTTATATTATTGAAAAATCTCATGAATAGTAGTTTATATATTGTCACTGTTAATCAAAATCATAACAATGTTTGTTTTTTCCTTCTCTCCTGCAATTTTGGACATATGAAGTTTTATCATGAAAGATATGTCTATATATACAAACCATAGCTGCTTATACACTGTGTGAGGAATGCAAGAAATGTGACATTTGTGTGTTTTTGTGCACATAGGTGCTGGTGTTTGATTTTGGCAGTGAAGTGTATGTATGGCATGGCAAAGAGGTGACATTAGCACAGAGGAAAGTGGCATTTCAGCTGGCAAAGCACCTGTGGAATGGAACCTTTGATTACACAACATGTGACATCAACCCTCTCGACCCAGGAGAGTGCAACTCACTTATACCCAGGTATGCATGCATGTTGGCAGTAGAGAATCATGCTTTTACCTCAGGCATGATGTGCACACACGCAATGACTGAAGCATATAGTAGGCTTTTTCTTGTGCAGTTTCCTTTTCCCCCTGTAAGTTCTAGGAGTGCTATGTAGTGCAAATTACGCGGTCTTGTTTTGCCACCTGGGGGCTTGTAAAGATCTGACTTTGTGAATTCTCTCGGCGTAAGTGTTGTTCTCTAAACTCGTTAATCCTGTCAGGATCTCTGCCAAGAATCTTACTGTTCATAAACAAGGCTTAGTAATGATGGTATCTGAAACACGAGGCCATGTATATCTTTCTCGCTCTCACCCTCACTCTGTTATGTTTGCCTGTGCCTCTGTTATTTGTGTACCCGTCCACACGCACTTTACGATATTTATGCCTCCTGTATGGTAGGAAAGGGCAGGGCCGGCCAGATTGGGCCGTGTTTGGTAGGCTGACCCAACACAACGAGACCACATTGTTTAAGGAGAAGTTTCTGGACTGGAATGACTCCAAGAAAACTTCAAAGAAGAATGGCAATGGAGAAACCATTGAAAACAAGGTAGTGCATGAATTAAATTACTTTCTTTTGTTTTTGAGTTCTACTTAGCTAACTGATATGACTGATTGTATGCTGTATTTTTTCCTCCTGTAGGAGGGCCAGAGTGGTGACTGCCGGCCGTACGATGCCTCTCTGATGTTGCCACTGTCGCGAGCACCTGTTCGGACTGTTCTGGACGGAGTGGACGTGGGTCGCGGTTATGGATTGGTGGGTGGAGAGGATGGGCGAGGCTTTGAGATAAGCACGCTGTCTGTGGATGTGTGGCATATTCTGGAGTTTGACTACAGGTACAGAACTAATCAGAACTGATCTCACCTTACATGCGCTCTGACATTTTTTTATGGTGAAAATTATCTTTTGCACACTTATTTGTTAATTATCATCAGCAGGTTTTTCTCTCTTTCAAATTTGTCAAATTAATATAAAAATATTTTTATTGAGTAGATCATTTTAATTATTTTAAATTTAATTGATCTATTAAAACCGTTTTTAAAATTGTTTTATTTCAAGACCTTGTAAGACCTGAAAGAATTGGCATTAATACAGGGTGGAACTGAATGTGTGGTGTTTTTCCTACTGCAGTCGCCTGCCTAAACAGAGCATAGGGCAGTTCCATGAGGGAGACACATATGTGGTTAAATGGAAGTACATGGTCAGCACAGCAGGTGAGCTCACTGTGTCTTTTTCTTTTAATGTTAGTGCATATTTATGTACACAGTTCAAGAAATGGACGCAAACTGTGGACATCAGCGTTATTTATCGAACGATTTTAGAATGTTCAGTTGGATTTTTTTTTTCTTCATTTTGACTGTTTCTGTAAATAATTATCTATAAATCATTCTGTTATCAGCACATTGTGAAAACTCATAAGCTCTGTCTCACTGCAAGGTGTGAGGCACAATCAGATCTCTTTCTCCGTTGTTTATCTTTGTGTGAACATGTCTACAGTTGGGAAGAGGCTGAATTCGGAGCGAGTTGTAGGCCCGGGGAAGGAGAAGTGTGCGTATTTCTTCTGGCAGGGTCGTAACTCCACTGTAAGCGAGAAGGGAACATCGGCTTTGATGACTGTGGAGCTGGACGAGGAGAGAGGAGCACAGGTAATCCACAGTGCTGTATTCTGGAGCTTATAAACCCTTTCTCAAAACTTTAGATATCATTTATATTACAGATGTACAGGGGTGTCGAACTCAAACCTGTCACATGGTGAAACTTTCATGCCACTAACTGCACGTTGTGAGCTGCCTGCGGCATCATTTCTGTGCAACTTGACAGTTAAACTAAGCACTTCAAAAGCAAAGTTGCACCCAACACATACAGTTACACTGCTGCCAAATTAGCAGCTCGTATTTTTGATACACCATATTGCTCTTGCTATAAAGTTGTAGGCAAGGTGTAATTCTATATTTGTGACACCTGGATTTTGTGAACAGGTGCACTTTGTCACAGATCTTTCCAGGCAAAGGGTTGTGTAGTGTATGAGCCTTGTCTGTGATCGCTTATGTAGCATGCACATCACTAAGACCACGTATCAGGCTGCAAGTGAGATATATCATGCGGGCAGTATAGCCATTCTGGAATTTTGAAAGTCGAGTAGTGTCCACTATGCATTGGTGTTTTCCCTATTCTAACATTCTGAAAGCCTTTGTAATTAGCTGATGAGTTCAATCAGGTGTGTTAAATGAGGCACACTGTGAAGCTCTGCGGTGTGGCCTGCTTATAACATACTCGTCAGTCTAACATGAAAATGTGTGTCAGAGTGTAACTGTGTGTGGTTTTCAGGTCCAGGTGCAGCAGGGGAAGGAGCCCCCCTGTTTCCTGCAGTGTTTTAATGGAGGGATGATCATTCATGCAGGGAAGAGGGAAGAGGAGGAGGAGAATGCGCAGAGTATGTTCTACCCTTTCTCTCTCTGTTTGGTTCTGTTAGCCTCAAGCTGTCCTAAAGGCTATTTTAGTTCATTTTCTCAAACCTATTACCTGAAGGGAAATTCCACTGACTTTTCAAAATTCCTGCACAATTAAATTCTTCAGATGTAAACAAAGTTGTTCAGAGTGATCTGATGTAAAATCATGCTATGCAAAGAAACCTGCTTACTCAGTTTTCTTTACAGTGGTGATAGGTACCAGGAGTCTCAATGTCTACAGTGCAACTATAGCTGTTTTATTTACCACACAAAACCCCCATTAGATCTAGAAGCATCTTCTGAGTTTTTTATAAGTTAAGTCGATAATGTTAAAATAGTGGTAAATCTGAAAAAACGATTTTTGGGGACTGTTTGGCCTTAAAATTACCAGCATGGGCCTCTCCACCATAAATAGCTTTAAAAAATAGCTTTAACTTCAGCATGTCATATTCTCATTTCCTACCTGTCAGTTAAAGCTTATCGAAAATGAAAACAGGAAAGCTCTGGGTGATACAGATACTGTCAAGTACTGTTGTGTTTTAGAGCAGCTCCTGCATCGCAGTGGATAATGTCACAAATTTCCACTGTGTTTCTTTTATGGTAGACAAAAGAAAACAAATATTCATGCTGCTCACATGGTGCGTGTTTAGCCTCACCATACAAGCTCAATTCTGATGAATTCTGACTGGAATGTCCTTGTTTAAACTGGGGCTGAGATGTTTGGACACTTTTATTTGCCAGTATTAATAGACCGGATTATGACAAAAAGCCGTTGAGTGGCTTGACAATCTCTTTTTGTGATTTCTCTTATTGGCTGCATCTCATGGCTGCAAGTCCAAATAAGTAGTGTTGCACAATGTATTGAAAGTTCAGTCCTTTTTCAGTACAACAACATGGTAAGCAGTTCATTGTGCTAACTTTCAATGTATTCAGTTATTTTTAAATAGAATAGCGCTACATTGATGTTATGAGATTATATATGCTTGTGCAAGCTGAAGTGGTGCAGAGATTTGCTCCTCAGCACATCTAATAATACAGGAGTTTTATTCATTTAACATGTGACTTTATACTCATAGAATAACACTGAAGTTTTGTATTGATAGAGACAATTTAAAAGCTAAATGTTGATGGAGCTGATTCTTTTTCTGTGTTCAGTCCAATAAGCATTGGGTGTTCAGACGAGCGTATTTATCAGTCTGATGTCAGCCGTTGTGATACTACACTTGATTTTGTCGCAGAAGTCAAAAGTCTGACATTGTTACTACCTCCTAAGTCCTATTTGTTTAACTTTGCTGTAGATGACTGGCGTTTGTACTGTGTCCGAGGAGAGAAGCCAGTAGAGGGCCACCTGCTGGAGGTTGTGTGTCACTGCAGCAGTCTTCGCTCTCGAACCTCCATGATTCTGCTGAATATCCCCAAAGCCAGCATGTACCTGTGGCATGGCTGCAAGGCTCAACCGCACACACGTGATGTGGGCTGCACTGCCGCTAACAAGATCAAAGAGCAGTGAGTGAACACACACAACATGTATACTGCACTGTGCAAAAGTTTAGGCACTCCAGTCAAAATATGCTTCATTGATTTTGTAAGTGAAAATAACTACACATCCTCTGAAGAGAACACACTTCTGCACATTTCAAAATGCAATTGCTTTTTATTTGAGTTTTTTTATACTGGGAGGAAAAATAAAGCATAAAATATGGCCTGTACAAAAGTTTAATGATTTGTTTTCTTGTTTTTCCAATATTTTAAACTCAGCACATTAATAGAATTTATGCACTAAAATTACCATATACAAAATACCATATTTGTCAGTTCCCTGTAGAGTATGTGTTAACTCATTTTCACTTAGAAAATCCACAAAACATGTAATTTCACCAGGAGTCGTCAAACTTTCATATGAAGTGCTGTGCAAAAGTCAGAGGCCACTCTTTAATGTATTTCATGTCCAGTCAACATTGCTATTAAGTAGACGTTACTTCTCACAATGGAAGGATGCATGGAAACATTAGTGGATTATTTTAGATCTGAAGGAATAATGGAGCTTGATTTCCTCTTATCTGTCAAAGATGAAAGCTATAAGTACTGTTTATCTGATGGTGACAGTTTTGGTGGTCTTGGAGACCTTGTTAGGAGTGCTATTTACTCTGTCTTTTAATATTTCTGAACTTCCTTTTTGGAAATCCATGTTTCACTATTTTTCTTTGATCTTCCTCTTTCTTATGCAAGTGGATTATCTTATCCCATCTCCTTAGGAATATCCCCTGAAAAATGAATAACATTGTACATTAACAAATACACCAGCATAATGAAGTTTGCAAAGATGTCACTGAGGTTGTTACTGATTTTTGCATGTAGTTGTGTAAACACACATACATGTGCAGTTGGTCATGATGGCAATGTGTTGTCAGGTGTCCTCTGGAGGCAGGTCTTCACAGCAGCAGTAAGGTAACCATCCAGGAGTGTGATGAAGGGACAGAACCAGTGGGCTTCTGGGAAGCTCTTGGCCGGCGAGATAGGAAGGCATATGATTGCATGATTCATGGTGAGTAGGGGTAAAAATCTGTATAGATTGTGTGCATGTTTGTGTGTGTGTGTGTGTGTGTGTGTAAAAGTGTGCTACTTTGTGTTTTAGATTTAGGGAAGTTTAACTTCACACCACGACTGTACCAGTTGAGCAGTGCTTCAGGGGAATTTACTGCTGTGGAGTTCATCTGTCCATCCAGAGAGCCAAACCTGGTCAACTCGATGCCCTTCCATCAGGAGGACCTGTACACTGCTGCTCAGCCAGGTACAGTAACAACATCAATGGCACAAACATCGTTCTAAAGTGGTAGAGTGAGCATCACACTAAACACTCTCTCTTCCAGTTAAGATGATCTTTACACTAATACGCTTTTGGAAAAACGGGCCAAGCTCAGTGCTTCAACACTTATCCTTCTGATGATGCTTTCAGACAGTAGTAACAGTGGTAACATTTAGATTCTAAGGAGCTAAATGATATGTGTGGTAGGGCAGTGACACCTCATATTTCCCGGTCCCTTGTCTTATTTTATGCAGAGATAAACTAAGAGATAATCTAAGAGACTAAGAATGTAGTAGCCTTAATAGTCAACTTAATGACCCTACAGAATTACAAAAAACGTTTGCTCCCCTTCCTGGTGCTGTTTTTCTCACCAAAGCTAGTCTCCTGCTGATGTACATATGTTCTGATGTACATATCTGCTCTATTTCTCTTTTGTAGCTCTTTTTTTGGTGGATAATCATCACGAGGTGTACCTGTGGCAGGGCTGGTGGCCTCAGGACAGTGAGAACACAGGCTCCGCCCACATCCGCTGGGACTCAGACCGGAAATGTGCCATGGAAACTGTGCTCCAGTACTGCCAAGGTAACCACCAGCTGAGAGCTTTTTATCAGAGAGGAGATTTATATATAGATTTAGATCTGGATAATTTTCTTACGAGTAATATATTAAACTGATTGATAGATGTATAATAATTCTTGGTTCTGTTGTAAATTTAGTTGTTTATTACACTGTAAGTAATAAAAAGTTGGGTCAACTTAAAATTTTAAGGGAACATAATTCACAACTTTTTTGAGTTCAACTCAATTTGAGAGAAATGTTCACCAATGCTAAGTTAATTCAAAAAAGTTGTGAAGTAAGAAGACAGAAATTTTCATTTCATTTTCATTTCAACCCAGCATGTTTTGAGTGTGTGATAAATATGAATATATGTGTGAAGATATTGTGCAGTTTCCAAGGATGGTGACACGTAGTCCAAGTCATATTTCAGATAAGGATAAGTGATACAGTTTTGAGACGTGACATACTTTCAGATGAGTATATGGTGTTGCAAATGTAGATCACATTAAGATATTATTCCGAAATGATACACCGTATTAACACATGAATAAAAAAAGAAGAAGAAAAAAAAAGACTTGAGTGCAGAAAATTGAGTGGCTTTGGAAGAATAACTTTTAAATTCTTTGGCCAGGCTTTGACTTCTATTTGTGTGTTTACACAGAGAAGAATGACAAGAAGCCTCCAAAAGCCTACCTGATCCACGCTGGCCTGGAGCCTCTTACCTTCACTAATATGTTCCCCTCCTGGGAGCATAGAGAGGACATTGCTGAGATCACAGAGAAGGTTACACACGCACACACAAACACACAAAACATGCACACGCAGTACTTTCTCAAGATCACTCACACAGCCCAAAAACCAGACATGGTCGTTCAGCTAATGAGCTGTTTTTTTCCCCATTTTTCCTTTGACTCATGCATATTCATATGGACAAATATGTATTAATTGATAGATGGATGGGCTATACAGTGTTGTGTTGTCTGGATTTTTGAGAAAATAAAAGTAATAATAATTAAAACTGTGTATTAAATGAGGCCCAAGTCTTTAAAAGTCCTGTCTTTGGGCCAATGATCTTTGGGCCAATGATCTTGAATAATTCTGCTGTGAAAAGAAAATGATGTATATTTTGTGCTTTTTTTACATGGCAGTTCAGGTACTGCCAAATTACAAGAGGTTATATTGAAGTTTCACATACTTTATCATTTGTATATAAACACCAGTGTAAGATTTGTTGTTGAAGTTGTTTCGTGTAACTGTATCTGACTTATATCAGGGGTATTTAATTTCAGTCCTGAAGGGCTTCAGTCCAGCAAAATTTGGTGATTTTTCCTGCTCAAACGCACCTATTTAATCTGACTAGTTGCTGAGTTGAATCAGGTATGTTTGTATGTGCAGGTATGTGCAGATAGGTTCATTAATTAACCTATAGCCACCTCTGTCTTAACCCATGTTGTAGGAAGCAGAAGTATGTAATCAGATCATTCTGGTGGAAGATGTCTTGGCCAGACTGTGCAAGACCACCTATCCACTGGCTGATCTACAGGCCCGGCCGCTTCCTGACGGTGTCGACCCTCTGCGCCTTGAAATCTACCTATCAGATGAAGACTTTGAGGTGAGACCACAGGTTCTGTTCCATAAACTAAGTAATGTTGGGTCCAAAACATCTGTTGCTCAGGTTAATGAGAAGGCTTTGACTTTGTATTGATTCTCTATTGTTGAAAATGAGCTCATTACTGCTGCAGACTTCATTGAAGATAAAAGCTTGTGAGATGTGTCATGTGTTTGGGTATTGTTGCCTTTTTTCTGTGTTGTCATTTTGAACAGTGCATGTTCCTTTAATCGTTCTTTGTCTGTCTGTCTCTCTGTCTCTGTCCTTCTGTCCTCCACTCATAATTTCTCCTCTCTGTTCCTCCTCACCTTTCCTATGACTTTTCTTTAACATCTTTTCTTCTGCTCTCATTCTTTCTCTGTCTTCTTTCTCCTGTGGTGGCATAGTCTTGCATCTGACAGAGGTTAAATTTTCCTTTCACCTTCAGGGTGTAGGGGCCTATGGTAAGGTGAGTTTTGAAGAACCCTGATGTGTCTCCCTCACTCCCACAGAATCCTTACCTTTGGATTAAATCACCCAGAGTTCCATTTGCTTGTATCACATTCCTGTGCAACCTTGGTGTGTGTGTTGGTCACTTGGCACAGATAATAACTCACATTTTATTTCTTTCATGCATGCGTTTTTCACAGTTTTATTAATTTATCAAGAACTACTTCCTGGCTCTGCTGGTTCACTATGTACTTAATGGCCGTTTGTTCAGTTTCTTTCCAGTTTGTAACAATGGGTCTAATGTTAACTTCTGTAACTTCAGATTTTGAAATATGACTCGTTCTGTGTGGTTGGTGTGTTGATTTTGTCATTGAAAATAATAGTGCAAATCTTACTAATTTTCTATTAACCAACGCAAAGGCAAAAAAGTGATGAACGTGTCTGCATTTGAATGGGACCAATTACTAATTCATTCAGCACTTACAGTGAGAGGAACCAAATATCTAGACAGTTCTGTTATTATTATTTAATTGATTTTACAGGCACAATGTCTTTTGACTTTATACTTAGAAATATTATTTTTTTTCTAATCTCATTTGTAAATATAATTTTAAGTTTGAAGTGGATATACACTGGAAGTAAATTAAATAACAAAAACAAAAGTGTCAAAATACTTGTTTCCTGGGCTGCGCAGCGATCTGAGTGGAGTTTCTCTACTGAAAGGAAAAAGACTAGACTAAGACTTAATCCCTGTTTGAGAAACTGACGCAACGTTAAATCTTTTGATGTATTTTAAATTTCATTTTGTTTTGTTGTTAAAATACATTGACAGCAAAAATTTAAAAGTCTCAAACAAAAATAAATTAAGATGAAATAAAATGATTGGTGGCAGGTATTTCCACTTATCATCTAAGAAAAGGTAGTATTCATTTTTAGTGTTTGTTTATTCAGTGGTTTGTTTTGTTAATTTGTACCACTTTTATTTTGACTGTCTTCTGCAGATGCTCTAGAGATGTTCAAATTGTCTTGGATCCGACATTCACCTCAAATCTATTAAATACACTTAAACTTTAAGTTTAATATTATAGATTCTGTTAAAATTAACCCAAAATCTAAACCTAATCCAGAACCTAAACCTCTTTATATCACCTTATAAGTGTTTTTTAACAAGTTTTAACAAGTTTTGTTAATAGATTGAGCATCTATAGATAATCTGTAGGGGAGTCTCAAAATAAAGTTTGTCTGGTCTGTTGGTTGGTTGGATGATTTATTGATTTATGGATTGATTGAATGATTGATTATATATATGTCGGTGAGATTTACACCAACAACACATGGAGCCCTTTTGAACATTCAATCTTCTCTTACATTTGATCTCCAGATGTTAAGGTGTGTGTGTGTGTGTGTTTCTGCAGAAAGCTCTGGAGATGACGAGGAGTGAGTACGAGGCACTGCCGGGATGGAAGCAGGTGAACGTGAAGAAAGCTAAGGGATTGTTCTAGCGGGTTTGGAGAGTCTGTGTGTTGTAATATGGGGCGATAATCGCTGCAGAGTGACTGCATGAGATGGAACAAGCATGTGGAGGAGCTTCATACTGCCTTTCTAACTGGACTCCGAACGCACGGGTATAGGTCCGTAGGTGTCAGTCCACCGGAAAGGGTAGTAAGAGAAGAAGAAAAGAGTGGCGGATGTGAACAGAGATCAGCAGAGGTTTACCAGCCTCTTGTAGCATATCTCTTCCTTCTCTCCCTTTGTTTTCTTTATTTTCACTTGTTTATGTAAAAAGGTATAAATGCATAGTGGAAATTGTAATGCTTCTTTGATCAATTTTTGTTTGTCTTCCTTTTTTTGTTTATTGTTTTCTTTTCATGCATTCATTCCACTACATGTCCACGTAGCAGGAGCTGCGCTGCCATACTGTTGCCTGTAAACACAGAGTCAGAAACGAGTCAGGCAGTGTCCAGCTCTTGCCACCAGTCTGTTTTTAATTTTGATGTGTTTCTTATAATTTATACTTATAATGAAGACTTGTGGGAATAAATGTACAGTAAGAAGTCTAAATTGTATCACTGATAGTGGGAGTCATATGTAGTGACGGTCCAGTCTAATGCCACTCATAGCCAGACCTTCTACATGCCATCACTGATTCTTCTGCTACCACAGAGGTGCTGAAGTTGTGTGTGTGTGTGTGTGTGTGTGTGTGTGTGTGTGTGTGTGTGTGTGGGTGAGGATGTGTGTGGATGTGTGTTCATTTTTATTTTTTTTTTCGGCATGGATTCATTGAATACTATAGAAAGGGAGGTGAATCAAATCTCCTTACTACAGTGTATAGTGCCTTTGCTTTCTTGTACAGTTTATATAAAGAAATGTGATAGTCTGCAATTTTATGACTTTTGTGAATATATAAATATTAGAGGAAAATAAACAATATAAATCTGAAATCTTGTGCTTTTTATTTTGTATGTGACCACCAAATTAAAATATTTAAGATTTATGATTACATGCGTTTCACTTTGTGGGAGGGGAGGTAAGTGCAGGTAAAAATCAATAGACAGGTAAACAAAACTGATGTGCAAATTTGTTTCTGTACTCTTCATTCTAAAAAGCCTTAAACATTGCAGCAGAAGAAAAAGCTTTTGTACCTGTCCTTAAGTAATCCTTACAAAACCTTTAGAGGTCTTTAGGTGCTCAGAGATAAAAAAAAAAACAAAACAGCAGCACATCACGAGCAATAAGAAAACAAACCGTGTGTGTGTGTATATATATATATATAGATTCATTACACACAGAGTGATCTATTTCAAATGTTTATTTCTTTTAATGTTGATGATTATGGCCTACAGCCAATGAAAACCCAAAAGTCAGTATCTCAGAAAATTATAATATTGTGAAAAAGTTCAATATTGTAGACTCATGGTGTCACACGCTAATCAGCTAATCAACACAAAACACCTGCAAAGGTTTCCTAAGTTTGGAGGAAGAGTGGAGAGGCACACAATCCAAGCTGCTTGAGGTCTCGTGTGAAATTTCCACAATCAGTGATGGTTTGGGGAGCCATGTCATCTGCTGGTGTTGGTTCACTGTGTTATATCAAGTCCAAAGTCAGTGCAGCCGTCTACCAGGACATTTTAGAGCTCTTCATGCTTCCCTCTGCTGACAAGCTTTATGGAGATGCGGATTTCATTTTCCAGTAGGACTTGGCACCTGCCCACACTGCCAAAAGTACCAAAACGTGGTTTAATAACCACAGTATCACTGTGCTTGACTGGCCAGCAAACTCACCTGACCTAAACCCCGTAGAGAATCTGTGGGGTATTGTCAAGAGGAGATTAGAGACACCAGACCCAACAATTCAGACGAGCTTTATGTATTAAAAATCATTTTTTAAATTGGTCTTATATAATATTATAATTTTCTGAGATACTGACTTTTGGGTTTTCACTGACTGTAGGCCATAATCATCAACATTAAAAGAAAGAAACACTTGAAATAGATCACTCTGTGTGTAATGAATCCATATAATGTGTGAGTCTCACTTTTTGAATTGAATTACTGAAATAAATTAACTATTCAATGATATATATGATATGTGTGCATATATATATATATATATATATATATATATATATATATATATATATATATATATATATATATATATATATATAGGTCACGAGTTTGATCCCTGCTGATGCTACAGCCGTCCGTGGCCGGGTGTCCAAGAGAGCACAACTGGCCTCAATTGGAGAAAATTGGGTAAAAAATAAAAAAAAAGATATTTCAGTTCATGTTTACCACTGTGTGCTAGATTTCCAGTTTAGATGGGTAACTAAGAACACCGATGCTCTCAAATGGAGATCCATATCAGGTGAGTTTCTCTGTTTTCTGGACTTGCTTTTGTCATTATTTCTGAAATCTTTTGGAATTTGAAGAAATCTTGGAGAATTCTTAAGCAATTTTAAAGTATTTTAACACAATCTTTTTGAAATGTAATTTTTTTCTACTTTAAAAGAATGTTTTTGGAAGATATATAAAGATTAGATGAAGATTTTGGAAGATACATAAAAAAAAGGATTCATTCATGCTGTCTAACAATAGAATAACAAGCAGCTGTGTTCACTCAAAGATGGCTAATTGAATGGAGCTTTTTTTACATGGAATTCAGGATCATACAGTAACATTCCACCATTATGGGCAGTGAGAAGTGTTGAATGTGATAAATGTGCAAGAAAGGCCCTCCAGTGGTTTGTATGGAAATGTGGAGCTGTTGCAGAAGAGAGATGAGATGAAACACTTTTAAAAGTGAAAGTATAGTGGTGATGTGGTGGTGAATGAAAAGCGGATGCTGAAATTAGAAATATCTCCCCAACACCTGTCAGTGGTGCAGATGAAATGTGTGAGACTGAAATAAACTACAGCATCGTTTATATGAATCTTTGTTTGCTTACAGGCGACTCACCTCATCTTTCTGAGCTTAGAACTGTGCCAGTAGGATACTAAAGATCTGGAAGGTCTTCAGTTGGGATCATCATCCTGAGCAGCAAACCGTTTAAAGCAAGAAGGAGCTGCACAGCAATGTGGGTAAGAATTTGACTGGCAAAAGGTTCCCATTGTGTTTCTTCAGGCTGTATGTGCTGCTTCTACATTTTAAAGGGGAATTCCACCAAATTTTCAAAATTTCTGCATAATGACATTGAACATTGTGGTTCAGTGTGGTTTGATGTGAAATGCTCTGTTCCAGAGAAGCTTATTGAGTTAGTTAGACCTATTCACAGGGGTGGTGTTAGGAAACAGACATTTGAACTGTTTAATGCCTCTAAAAGCTCCCTCACAGAAAGTTTCATAAATTTCATAAAATGGTTATGAATATGTTGCTTAATGCCTGAGACATAGTTTCATGGTGGATGGGTACATGCAGGGTGTTCTAAGGCTAAACAGTCTTTTTTTTTTTCTAACTTGCCATGAGTCGCACCTTAGTGCTTTTCATGTCAGTGCTGCCAAACCAATTTCTGCAAACTACACAAGCAAACTGGTCTCACACTGAACTTTACTTCATGCAATAACTCATTTTATTTGACATTTTTCTTTTATATTTTTTGATAGGGGGTTATGAAAGATGTAAAGCATAGTCTGAACTTTCCAGTGTACAGGTTTCTTATATTGTCACTAAAAAATGTATCTTCATAAGAATAACTTAACAGAAGACATAAAACACATTCACGTTCATTTTATTATGATTATTATTATTATTATTATTATTATTACTTTATATAATAGGCAATAGCAGTATTATTCTCTAGTGTGTGCCTTTTGAATCAGTGTGCATACACAAACATGGAGACCAGAGTAATACATTCGCTCAGAGTGTCAGCACACAGAATCATCCACTTCTTTCTTGCTGTGCTATTTAGCTGCTTTAGCAGTGTTTTTAGTCAATGCTTTTTTGAATAGTGTTTCTGTGGAACTTTTCCTTATGATCTGCAGCTAATCTCACCCTTTTCCCCTGAATCTGTTTTGTCTTACCTGTTTTGTGTAGAGAGGTATTCTTTATGTAATAATATCTGACGGCCAGCAGGGGGAGGTAAACCACAGGCAATAGAGATCTTTCCTCCTGTTCTGCTTAGTGCATTAGTGTGGTGTCTACTGATTTTCTTTTTCATTTTATTTGCTTTTTTCTTTCCTTCTCTTTTCAAGCTTGACTCTTTGAGAGAATGACCTTTTCTGTTCGTGCAATTCAATTTTCCCATTTTCCTCTGCCATTGGTTGGCAAACATTTGTCAAAAAGTTTTGTTTGAACAGAAACCTCATAGTTGTGTAATAAAGGTCTTAAGAAATATTTTCCTCTTTGTGGGGCATAAATGTAGGAAATTGGGGGGGAAATGGTCACATTTGTAATATGGCTGACACAGAGACTAACAGTCTGTAATGAGTATTCCAATACAGTCATCCAAAAACAGACTAGTTCACCATATAGCAGTGTAGCCCTGAAGACTTTCAAAGGTCAGATGTTTGTGTGGGTGATACAATGGAATTTGACATGGAAAACACTTTAATGGCTGTGAATGACCGCTGCTTTGCTTAGACTGAAACCAGTGCATGAGAAGATGTCTACAGATATGAATAGATGGTGTGAGATTGGATTGTGTTTGCATGTAAACACAGTGCATGTTTAATGTAAAAAGTCATAAACAGATTTAACATGTTAATGTTCAAATGTTAATTCATGCTGCTCTGTCTTGGGGGCAGCCGCAAACATTTGAATGAACTCCGACTTCATTTCTCCACCAAAACACCTCTGTAATGCTTGCTAGCTTAAAAGTCCCTGATGTAATTTCTGAATCAAAATCTGTTCTCGGAATCTGAAGGTGGGAGCATAAGTTGCTCCAAAGCTCTCAGCTGTATGACACAAACCTGCATACGTGAGAAGGTGTTAGATTAGCTCACATATCAAATCCTTCTGGGATAATACGACATCACTAGACATGAGGCTGTAATATTTGTTAATAGAATTGTTTTTAACCTGAATTCAACCAGCGTAATCACACTGAGATTAAAAATCTCTTTTACAACTGAGCCCTGGCCAAGAAGGCAGCACACAAAACAATCAGCAAAGAAGCAACACCACAACCAACAAAATCAAATCAGAGTCAAATAAAAAAAAACCAAATAAAAACACGAACAAACAAAATGATATAGTTCTTTAACGATTCTTAGGATCACTAAAGGAATAAATTGCTCCCATTTCAAATATTTCTCCAGATCATTCCACACAGATGGAGCACTGTAACTAAAAGCTGCTTTGCCATATTCAGACTGTGCTATAGAAATGTCTAGCTGAACATAACTATTTTTTTTATAAGAATGCAGACAAATGAAGGAAGCTGACCAATAAACACTTTATAGACAGAATTTATCCAATGAATTTGTCTTTGCACAGAAAGTGAAGGCCAACCAACCATTTCATGAAGTTTACAATGATGAGTTGAATATCTAGCACCTATTATAAATGTAAAGGGAATTCCACTGATTTTTTTTTAAAATTTTGGCTTTATTCAATGGTTGAGATGTAAACAGTCAGAATAGTTTAAAGTAAAAGGGTTAATTGTAGAGAAACTTTCTGTGACGCAGCTCTTAAAGGCATCTCTGTAGAATGGAGCATTTCAGTAAAATGTTTACAAAAGAGTGCCTATATGAATATACTTGGATAGCGATATAAGAGATTATAAATAAAACAAATAAATGAATAAACAACACATAAATGGTATATTTGAGAAGAGTAGTAGTGATAATGGTATCAGTATAGTTATAAAGAGATTCCTAGAGATCATTCCTAAAATGATATAGATTGGCTGCTAATGTCACCATCTCAGCTTCTTCTTCAAACACAACATAAAGTTCAAACAGTTTAAAGAATCCTTCTCTCATTGACTGGTATTTTGGCCAGTAGAGGAGAAAATGCATTT